CCGAAACCTCCCTGTCCTCCATATCCACCAGATTGACCATGCCCATGTCCACCGGTACCGAAACCTCCCTGTCCTCCATATCCACCAGCCTGACCATGTCCCTGGCTGCCAGTCTGATATCCACCGGTTTGGTATCCACCGGTTTGATAACCACCGGTTTGATAACCACCGGTTTGATAACCATCCAGTATATGTTCAACTCCACCAGTCTGGAAACCACCCTTCTGTCCCTGTCCGTACCCTCCACTCTGACGTCCAGGTCCGAATCCACCACCTACACCTATTGATCATGAAATTCAACATCAGAATGGAATTTCCGCATTGCTATACTCTCCCTCCAATAAACCCCATTTCATTGAACTCCAACACTTTGCGTTTATTAAAAGATTTATCTAGTTGCTTTAATAATTTTTTTCTTATAAGATCAGATATTGAGTTACGTGACCCGCCATCCACCCCTGGATTTTGTTTACCGAGAGTCTTGGGTCAGTCGACTATGAATATGTATGGAAATCCTGTTAGTCTTTTTCATGCTGCGTCAGGGTGAAAAATAGTTGAGAGTAATGAATGAGAATAATTAGAACGGGAATTTATTCATTTTATCGTGATAGAATTGAGTAAAACATGCATTACTTACTCACAGTTCAATGAAGTATGTACAATTGCTTTCTAAAGTTCTGAAATCATAACTTGCATTCTATGAAAACATGCGGTGAAGGGATAGGGTTCTACCTCAAGCTTTACAGTTGGCATCAAGAACATTAGTGTTGGAATTTTTATAAATATTACACGTCCTTCACCGGCTACACCATCAACATTTTTCCCCCTTAAAAAATTTTCAGTTATCCAGCTCCGCGTCATGACCAATTCGTTTCCTAAATCGTCTACCTATTAGTTGTTCAACAACTCGTTTAATTACCGGTCGTTGACGACGGACAATCTGACGGTGAATCTCTCGAATTGGTTGGCGATGACGAAACATCACCTTACTTTCTTCCGATTGGTTATTAAGCAGACGACGAATTGTTACTTCCTGTTTAGAATTTTCCTGCGAATTCCGCTGGACAGAATGATGAACAACACCCCTACGGCTAACCGGGCGCACCACCTGAACATTTTCCTCCCGTACAACTTTTTTTGGTCGCTGAGTCAGTTTCACCAGTCCTTCCTGTTTTTTTTTCCACCAATCATACCACCAACGAGACTGCCAATCGTCGACGTTTGGATCAATCTTATCTTCATAGTCAGAACTCGATGAAGAATCCTCTTCTGTCTCACTGTCGCTTTCATCTTCATCGGTTTTCTCTTCTTTTGTTTCTTTCGTTTCTTCTTTCTCTCTCTTGTCCTCTTCCACGATTGATTCTCGTATTGATTGCAACAGCTCTATAATATTTTCACCAGTGGACGAGGTCTTTATCGATGGATTTCCTTTAAAGGAATCCTCTTCTGCGTTTTCCGACATCGACTCCCGTATTGAGTGCAACAACTCTAATATTTCCTCGTCCGCATCTTGTGAATCCTCCGGATGATCCGAAAGTTCTTTTAGTATCGATCTTAAAACCTCTAGAATATCCTCGTTTGTATCCTTTGAGGAAGCATCTGATATTGACTCTAACATGTCTAGAAGGTAACCGTTCTGTTCGTATATTCTCAGAAGATCATTGTTGTTTGTATTTGTAATACCTCTCGGATCGATATTGATAGGGTTATTATTGGATGAAGAAGGATTATATCCTAAATCAGAATAGTATCCTCGTTCCCGATTATACTCAAATATAGACTCTTTCGCTAAATCAAGAATCTCTTTGGTGGTCATTTCGTGAATGGGTTTGCCGGTTTGCACCGACTCTAAAATATCGTTCTCAGGAACATTCCATGACCGTGGAGCTAGATACCTTCTCGTCCGTCGTCCTACCCCCGGGTAAGCGCGTAATATCCCCCCAGGTAAAATGATAGGTCCAGCTTGATCAGCCTGGCCTCCTTCAAAGGGTACACCACCGGAAGGACCTTTATGTTAATATTATCCGTGGGTTATAGATAAACAAGCAAGTGGTTATCAGTTAAATAGCTTTATAAATTAATATCAATGTTACCTGAGGCACCAGCGCTGGCACCAGCGTTGGCATTGGCGTTTGCGTTGGCATTTGCACCGGCCCCGGAACCGCTACCGCCACCCAGTATTCCGAATCCACTAATTGACAAAAAATAAAATGTGTTGATTACATTATTTTGAATATGCTACCCCTCATTGATTTGTTCTTGAGATCGAAGATAGAGGAGTCCGATAAAATTACTGTTTATTGATGATAATAATTGATTGAACTCACGGTCCAGCAAATCCAGGGTCAATGACACCACCTGCTCCTCCATATCCACCGCCCAAACTTCCATATCCTCCATCAGCTCCACCGTGGCCTCCACCTACTCCATATCCTCCACCTGCTCCACCGTGTCCTCCACCTACTCCGTATCCACCACCTGCACCGCCGTGTTCACCACCTACTCCACCATGTCCTCCACCCAGTCCTCCGTATCCACCACCCGCTCCACCATGTCCTCCACCCACTCCTCCATATCCACCACCCGCTCCACCACGTCCTCCACCTAGTCCACCCTGTCCATATCCACCCCCATAATCAAAGATAATTCCGTCATTCTTGGCACTTGCACCTGCATCAGCGGTACCAGCCCCTTCAACATGTGTATTGGTCTTGGTGTGGGTCTTCCCATCGTGTCCACCAGAGCTACTCGACGATGACGATGATGAGGAAGAGCTAGGGCTGCCACCAACATGACGACCAACACGAGGACGATCTACCAGATTCGTAGCGATTAGAATTTATCAGAAAATGATAAACATTAAAAAATCCAACAGTTTCATATAGACACCCTGATTTATTTAATATAAAATTATTTAAATAAACTGACAAATGCACTAAAATAAAATAATAAATTGAATCATGCAGGCCCTTGAGAATATGAACTATAAGATTATTCTCAAGAAGTAGGTGAATAATAATTCCAGGGTGAATTTTCTGAATATGTGGGATTTGTTTTTTTATCACTTGGGAGTCCAATCTGATGTTTAAAGATTAAATATTTGAATTACCGGCGTTGGCGGATAGAACCAGAAGGGCCAAAAGAGCGAGGATCACTTGGTAACGCGCCATGATTGACTGTGCTCATCATTACCCCACATCGGTGTTAATATACCGTCTCCTTCCCACCGATTCTCTATGGATCCACACATTCTGTCATCACATCCCCACTCTTCATGGCATGTCAACTCTTCGTCATCCTATACGTCCTTTACTTCCTCATCGTCGGGTTTACTAGGCGGTAATCACTGGAAATCACACAGGACCACTGGGTACACGTGGTCAAGGCCATTCACACTCGAATCTTCGAATTCTCTACCTAATTTTAATTATACGTGTCATTAGATATACGCACCGCGTGTCTTAACGGGAAATAAACATAAATAATATTTAGAAGTTAATTATTTACGCCAATACTAATTAATACCAATATTCATTTAAATAATAAGCTTCATTATTCTCTTGATTTCCATGTTTTTAATGTTTTTTTTTACTCATTGGGCTTGAGGATTAAATATTATATTATTATTATATAGTAATTAATAGTTAATCATTTTTATGCGCGGAAGAAAACGTATGTGAATTCAGAATATTTAATTCTGAATTTTAGAATGTTGAATTTTCAATGTCAATTCAATAATATAAATTTTGGTTATTAATATATTAATTTTAAATAACGCGTAGACTTGATATCTTAGGTGTATTTTATCAATCATAAAGTTTATTCAAGTACATAAGTTGTTCATGAGGAAATAAAAAAGTTGTAGGCAATTCGAGTTATATTGAAATTTTATTTTACTGAAATAATCACCACGTGAAATATATTCTAAAAAACAGGGCAGGGTTTAAAGTAGATTATTTTTAAAATTATATGAAAGTTCAAAGTGTTGGATTATCCCAGGGGAAATTCTTATTGACGTCCTACTTTAATACCCACACGGATTTTCCGAAATATCCAGAATTATGTAATTCGTAAATATCCATCGATTTATTACGAGTGATTCATGTGGACTCTGCGAAAAAATTTGAAAGCAAATATCATCGGACTTGAACTATCTCAGGGGTTACAAAGTGGAAGTATGATAACCTTTTAGAATTTCCTATATCTACCGTCGGAGTTTCGAAATAAAAAATGGCATTGCCATCGAAATTGGGTCAAATTGGGAGATTACGAATTTTCGAGAATTACGGAGAATTCATGGAATACTCAATCATCCGCGGATAATAGAAACGAATATAAAATTTATAAAGACGTTTGTTGACGAGTTGTTATTACCAGATGATTATCTCATCCCATTGATAGCAACTGAAGGATAATTACACGAAATCACAACTATTCAAGAAATTGTTGAATATTTGTTGAATTTTTGTTGAATATTTCTTGAAGATTTGAGTAATAATGATGTCGCACACTTTTCGTGAATGAAATTACAAATTTAAGCCAGCAGTTGGGATTTTGGCATTGAATTTAAGAATCCTTCTGTACAAGTTTTTGTAATAAAAGTGCAGTTTATTGCATTCCGTCGAAACTATTACGACGCATTTTGTTCAGACCACCAGTGATTGTACTTCCATGTTTCGCTATAAAAACAGCTGCTTTAGACGTGAAAAAAACTCAACTCGTGGCAAATATTTATACATTCTCAACAGATTTGCTGTCCTGGCACGGAATATCAAAAAATAAAAATAAAAAACTCATGTCTCGCCTATTTACTTGTCCACGTTAACGTATACATCGCATTTCTAGGAGATTACTTATCATTACGCGTAAAAAAACTAGTGAGCTTGAAAACTCGGATCCCCGTGCTGCCTTCTGATATTTACAGAGATTAAAAAATTTAATTATTTGCATTTTCCCCAGAAAAAACCGCCAGTCTGAGGGTTTTTAAAGTTTTCTTCAGATTCGTTCGGAATATTTGTTATTTTTTGTTTTAAAATACTAATAAAAACGGAGGGATTTCCACTGGAATTCCCTAGCTGACGGTAGGATTTTCCCTTGGCAATGATTTCTCGTAGACGATCTTACGATACGACTCGTTACTCATATCGTTTAATATTTAACAATTACGAAGAAGTTGGAGTATAGTCACTCGCGAAGGTTCCGCTTTTTCATGAACATGATTAAATTGTTAACATGAATGGACAAAACGTGCAATCTGGAGCTTGTCCGTATGACTCAACAAGCCTTCGTTTTTTCTCCATCGCGCTAATTATTGACAGCCATTCTCCTCGTTTCATTGAACGAAAAATAGTATTACATTATCATGCGAACCTGGCATTTCTTCATTCGAAAATCCCGTCGAACTCGGCGTGCAGTCCCGGGGATTCCCCGCTTACCAAACTGGTTTTTCAAACTTTCAAGATCAACTCTTTAACCCTGGAATTAGTGTCGGGTTTTTTTCAGATTCTTGGATTCGAGGTATTATTCGCGCATTAATATCACCCGTTATCACTACTTAAAGATCATAATTAATGTGTATATGATGGGAGTTGTTAAGGAAAAAAAACTATAAACTTGTCATTGAGCATATTATTAGACTCATCGGGTAATTTTTATTCAGCCCACTATTGCTTTTTTCTTCTACTCATTGTTCGTAATTAAAGCTGCTCCATTCGCCTGAAGGAAGAAGGTGAGATCATTGTTGTTGATTGGAACCTTGCCTCAACCCCGTTAGTCCGTCAAAGTCTAAGTAATTTTTCAAAAGCAAATTCCCACAGACTTGGCAGTGATATATCAATCCGGCTACATTAGGAAAGAGGAATAAAATGGATGCCATTGCCAGAAAAATTTATCGTCACTATTTGAGTGTTTCGTAACTCGACGAATAGATAGATTCGCTTGCCATTTTTTTGTTTAGCTGGCCTATTACAATTTTTTAATTAATTTTCAAGGTAATTATTGATAGTCCATTTTTATGAACAGCGATTTTTGCCGATTTTTTTCATCCTCACAACTTTATAATTCCCCGCTAAAATTGGAAACCTCAATTGTGTAAAAATAACTCCACGAACACGTCGACAGCTTAAAAACCAGATAACGTACCTGTCACAACATTTCCTAAGATGAACAATGAAGTTTCGATGTTGTGCTCCCATTTCCTGTTTATTCCTTTTGTCGATTTAAATTTGTTGGAAGTCTCTTATTAACTTCTCGGTATTGTTCAGTTCATTGACTGAACGGGAAGATTATTGATGTTTACGATTAATGTGTAAATAAGGAAGTGCTAATAAATATTTATCGATTATAATTTTTTAAAACTACTTCATTATGCACCTTCATTTTCTAAATTGTCCTGCAAGGTTAGAACTTACATAAGAATTATCAATTAGTATTCAGAACATTCCACCTTAATTTTCGGCCTCTCCATGCATTCGGAATGAACGTAAAATATACTCAGAATGATATTTTATAGAAAAAGGATAATTTCATTTATTATTCGTTGACTAATTGCTCTTTTCATTTCCTTCGCGAGGACATGCGAATGCTCATTCACTTGTTAGGGCTGTAAAATTAACTAAGTTATTGCTTATTCATTATGTAATGTTTATAATTGATCATCTTTTACTCAACTCGTCATATGAATTCATCCGCAGTCTTGTCGGTCTTGAATACTTGATATTGTATTTGACAAACAAAACTTCAATTTATTCATATAACATTCAATACCTTCGGTAATTTAATAATGAAAATGTATGAGCTTTTAGAAAAAAATTCTTCTCGTCAATAACAGAACTTCATCTGGAATGTCAAGCCAATCGAAGTTCTTTCCCTGATGTTCTCCGCCATTTTGTCGGCCGCCTCGCTAAAGCACTAATTCTTCATATTAATTAAAAAAATATTTTTAACATTAAAGAAATCAATACATATTATTTATTCTGTAATAGATACCATTTATTCTTTTTTTTTAATATAAATTCGTGTTGTAAACATTGCAAAACTCTTGCGACTATGTAAATATCCATTATAAAAGAAAAACTTTCATCGATGAAATTTTTCCTGTCATTCATTACATTAATGTCCTTAACTATTCGTTGACTGAATGCTCTTCCCTCTTGTCTTCTTTTTGCTGTAAATACATGTGAATATATATTTCTTATGCGTATTGATATAGAATGCAATATTTTATTGCCCATTTATTATATCTCTATGATTCATGATTCTCATCTGAAGTCTTTATGTAATTCCATTTGCAGTCTTGCAGGTTTTGAATATATGACATTGTACTTAAAAAACATCGCAATTCCAGTTATATAATAATCAATACCCTCCGGAAAATAGTAATAATAAAAAATGTATAAAAATTCCAAAACAATTTTCTCTTCGTTTGTATTCCTTATAAATATTACTAACACTCGAAAATATGGTAAAATTCACAACAAAATTATTGTCTTTCCGTGAAGACACAACCCATATAAAAACTCATATCGATGAATATCAAAAGATCGAAAAAAATGTTTCAAATAATAAATCGAAATGTTCTAATAATCCACATAACAATTTTTCTCCTAATTTGATTATAGTCAGATTTATAAATATATACAAGACTATGATTCCAATAGTTTCACAGTTGACCCTGCAATGCGTCATCCGGGATGGAGTTTATCAGACTTAAATACGAAATTATCATATTGTATAAAAAATTTTCTAGTAACAAATTTCATCAACATCTCTATTTCTCTTCTCCTCATCCATCCCTTCAATGTTCTTAATTAATTAAAGGCAGCAAAAGTTTGATTAGTTTAATTACAAAAATTTTCATCGAATTTCGAGATTTTATTAATGAAAAGTTGATTTTTAAATAAAATATCTACAAATTCCGTTTCTTCTGTTACGTTTCGAATAAACATACAGTAGACTCTAGTTATAGCCACGTACATGGAGCTGTAGAGGAAGCGAATTACTACGTAAACTGAGAGAAATTTATCTTTCGGGTTTATTTCGCCTAGAATTCGATTCCTCACCGGACGAAACGATGGATTGGTCACATCTTGTAGCCCGGAGGTATGATTGGAAAAACTGAAAGATACGCGAAAACAGAAATGCAGGACAGGTGCGACTGTAACAGGATTCTACTGTAGTCTGAAAACTTGGTTCTAATAACAATAATTTCAATTCCAAATGTTTCCTAATAAAAAAAAATTATTACAGTGGACCGTTAACGACCGGTAGTAGTGATAAATCACTAAATCTCAACTACCAAATAGAAATGGTTTTAATAAAAAAAAAATGAAATACTTCTCAATCAATGAGAGACTGCTAGGTCGACACTGGTTAACCTCATGCATAATGTGTGCAAGCGATGTATTAATAATTCTCTTTTCGATTAAAATTAACAGGAATGTGACTCTGCTGCGTGGCACTTCTTATAACTTCCATCCACCTGTTTCAATAAAAACGAAATATTAATAGAAAAAAATATCTCAGCGTTGAAATACATGAACTATTGCAATCTATATTTACCTGCCGAATGTAAAGTCACTCTCGGCCCTGAAGAAATAGACATGATTCTTGAATTGTAATTTGAAAACAAAGTCCTTGTTGATGCTATCTTTTTCAGACGGCGTTGACACAGCATAACCGAGTAGTGGTAGACTGGCAAGTGGAAAATCATCCTGATGAGATTTGTAGAAGAACAGGCAAAAATTCGTAAAGACGACCCACAGCTTTTGCCAGCCATTGCTATTCTTGAATTTACGCAATAGAAAACCACTCAGTTGATTCTGTAATTGAAATTTTTAATGAGAGAAATATTGCATAACAGAACTGTTTATACGAATGATTAACAATGAGTGATAATTGCTCACTTGGAATGCTCGCAGTTGATCACTGTAGCTGATGCTTGTATTTCTGTGCCAGCATACATGAACAGTTGTGTTACTTCTCTGGGAATCTTTCGCACCACCACAGCTGCCACGGTCTAGGTCAATTCCACCACCACCAAGCTCATCGACAGAACCTAAAACTGATTGTAGGATTATTCATTTTATGCTGAATATCAGAGTCTATAAATCATACAAAATACAAGCAAGAGGTTTAATATTCAACTAGACTTACTGCACGATTTCGTTGTCAAATACGGCATCTTCCCCTCGTTCTCCATTTGAAGAATAGCCATATTCAGATCCTCCAACCATCGCGCCTTTTCCTCCTCGCTGCTTGCAGCCACTGTCAAAGATCTGTGATAAGACAACATTAATCATGTAAAATAGCTATAATAAAAGTTGCATCAATCGTCCGCAATTGGCCTGTAGTAATCATGATTGCCATGATATCATGGGAGAACTTACTGGTTCCCTTGGCCATGGATGACAAAGACAAAGTCCGTTCCCGTCTTGTTATCACCGTCCTGTATCGTCACTCCCTTGAGAGGGAGTTGGCCGTGGACACGGAAACACTGAGTTGGTTGTTGAGTTCGGAATGTATAGAGTAAAATATCCGAGAACTGTTGACAATATCAAATATAAAATATCAGTTATTGATAGTTCGACTGAATTTTAGTTGATTTTTTTGGGTTGAGTGAGCAGATTATCTTACCAGGAAAAACATTCTTTGTTGAAATCCCTTGTGACTGTATTTCTGTAAACATCCTTGTCGGATAAATCTTCGTCCCTCTTGCACCAAATTATCGAAGCCACTGATATCTCTCTGTAGTTCACAGAGTTGGACGAGATTCTCCTAGAATTATCAAAATGAAGAAATTATAAAATGCAAATTATATAAATGAATCTCATGAAAATTATTGTAATAACGAAGTGATTACCGCTTGATTCAAGACAGTAAGACCTTCAAGAAGTGTTTCTCCAAGTCTATCCCTCGCTGCTAAACAGTCCTCGAAATCCGTGTGGTCCTTTGGATAATGATCCAATAGTCCTTCAAGCAAATTAAAATGAATGATGTGAATGATGAATGGTTTTTTATAAGTACTGGAAGAAATAATTTTTTATCATTAGATAAATGCACTTACTATCAATAATACTGTTATAATGCAACAATCGTTGAAGTGGTTTCAGGAGGAATGACGTCAATGGTAAATAGCAGTACTTCTGTGACTCAAAATCACGACACAATTGATCGAATCTGCGTGATGTACGCATTGAGTACTCCATCTTCTCGAGTACCGGTATTAAATTCTCCAAGTATTGATCGTAAAGTGGTAGAACGTTGAGAAGTGTATTGTAGAGAAAATCACCGATATTGTGACGTGCATTACTCTCCCACCGTGCCAAACGTGTCTCCATCTCTTGAAGGCATGGCCCATGAGCATCAGCAAGTAATTCTATCAGTCCAACTGCTGGCTCACTCTCCAGATCAGATTCCCGTGATACTTCCTCACGAAACCACTGGAATTAATGACATTATAGCTTTTGGCAACGACCAATTCCATCCAATTAAGTGATTATTTTATCATATTCTACCGTCACTTGGCATTCTTTTTATTCTGCAAATTAATACTTACAACATTTATAACATCCAAATCCTTCTTGTAGGTTCTCTCCGTCATGAGAAGCTCTTTGGCAATGTAATAAGCTTTATCAGTTGGCCATCGCTGTGGAGAAAAAAATGTGATAGGAATTAAGAAGTAGAGAATGAGAAAAGTCGTCTCTGAGTTACGATAAAAAGGGAAAACGAGAAAATATTACTTTGGTTTTTCTTATCTCGGAGTCCTCCACCTCTCCATTTTTCAGATGTTTTTCTGGACTCAAATCCGGCGTGTTTATCACGTTGACGTTGACGTTTATCTCTCCAATTCCATTCTGCCCCTTCTCCGACTTTCCGTTGACATAGAACAAATTGTTATTCTCGGCTTTCGACGTATTTTCGTGATTCTTGTCGACTTCATCACCATCTGCAATAAAAATTCTGTTAAAATTTATGAGGTTTGACCGGTGAAACGTTTTTTTATGTAATAAAATAAAATGGAAATCATGGGATAAGCTAGGAATACGCATGCGACATTGCAGTGATTGTTTTTACAATTTTCAAATGATAATATATCACAGGGAAAGGTCAGTTGTCGGTAGACGTAAATGAAGCTTCATGCCCTTTCATAAATTTCATAATTTGTGCTGAAAATTAAATTTAATGATGCAAAAAATATATTCTCAAGTGCAAACCAAAGTATCGGCCGCAAATAACGAGGAAAATAATAAACAATTAGAAATAGTGACTGTCTCTCTGCTAAAATAAATTGTGATACATCGATCAACAAAAAAATATAGAGGCTCAATTTGTTCATGAGATAATTTTCATCAACTGGGAATTACTCACACTTGGCATTGTCCAGCCGACCAACAATTCCAGGAGTGCGATTCAAAAAAGATAGAGAGGGATAGGAGTGAACCCTTGACGGTTCAACACCCCCAAAACAATGACAATAAACAACAGAATAAACAAAAAGGAAAATATATCGACTTTTTTCATCGAAAAAATCGTCGTATTGAAGAAAATTCAAACCAAACGAAAATCAATGGAAATACTAAAAAAGAAGAACCCATTGAAATTACTGACGCCTGTAAATGACTTTGTATATAATTTATTAATGTCATAATTATGTATCAATAATCAATGTACAATAAATTTCCTACGATTTCATTTTTTTTTTCTGTTTTCCCCTCATATTTTCCTCATTTTTGGTAATTTCCCTTTCACTTTAAAATTAGAGTTCTCGTGACCTCGCGCTGAACCTTTGACACAAGGATGAGAGTCCTCTCTGATATTTATATTATGTATATCGAGATAACGGGTAGATTCTTTAACAAGCATCGGCATTCGATCGTTGAAAAAATCGACGCGGTTATTATAATAAATTATAAATGATTTCAGTTATTCTTGCGTCATTGGAAGGAGGAAGGCCCTTTTCAATTTCCATAATTTCATAATGTTGTTAACACCAAATTCCCATGAATTCTCGATTATTCGTGAATTCCGAATTTGTTCTCTTTTTTTCTGTCAAAATTTTGTATTGTGACTCTTCTATTATTGAGAGCAACGATTTCCGTTCATTAGTGTTATTTTTTGTCTTGACAAATGAGATCATATTCGGATGAATAATTGATTAATTGATAATTTTAGAATCGTTAATTGGTGCTCCTCTCCTTCACGAATTCCTTAACAAATAAAATTCGATATATTCAATGCTTCCCTCAATTCTTCTTGTTTCTCATATCCTCCCGTAATTTACGTTTATCGAGAGAACTCGGTATTATTTTCCCATTTTTTTTATTAATGATGATAACAACAATAATGACGATAGTGATTATTAAATGTCAACGGTGCAACATGAATAATTCGGGGAATTCGAATTTTCTATTCTTCGAATGAACAGCATAGGTTACCACCGTTTTCTGTTCATGAACTCTTAAAAATCAATTTTTATGTATAAATATTGAAAAATTAAAAAAGGGGCTTTTAATATGAATTAGTTCTTGAAAATATTGAAAAGGGTTCATTAATCAATTAACTAAGATCATGCAGGGTTGTGTAACAATACCTCAACGAATGAATTTTTTAGTGTAAATAATTGAGGTGGTGGGGGTGGGTGGGGTGGAGCACAACTAGAAGACTCAGGTTTTACTGATGAATTCCAAGGGGTCACCACCAGGAATTAATTATATTAATTAATTTGCCCAGACATTCCTAGAGTACTTGCGGTTGCAACAGTCGACAGGTGATGATTACTCAAGATAACAGTACACTGTTAAAAAATTTCTTGAAATTTCAGTGATTTAAATTTTTAATTATATGAGTTTAACTTCAATTTCCATGAAAATTTGAAAATTCAGGAAAATTATTACTTGAATTTCCCACAATATCGCGTATGTCACAAAAAATTACCAGAATTGCGTTAAAAATTAACCGATTTGTTAATGCAGAATTCAACAGAAATGACACGTCACATTGTCGTTGTTAAAAATTTCAAGTGTAATTTTCCAACACTGAAAGAAAAAATGACTCAATTAATTATTAATCGAATCATTTAATTACGGATGTTATGGATTCGTTTTTCCAGCGAATCTATTGCTATTCCATTGATGATTTATAACTGAAGTTAGTTAGAGAATGAGGGATTTCAAGAGAAGTCTCCAAAGTACAAACTTTCGTAGAAACCTCTTCATTTACAAGACACCCTGTTACGGCACAAATAGAAAACAGTATTTCAACTTCGCTTTACTTGGCTTGAACACGATTTTGCCAGGAGGAACTTGAGATAGTATGCAGTACCAGGTAGATGAGGCATTCTCTAACAAATGTAATTATAATCCGTGCCTGCGGCTCGGAGTATAAATTAACATGCATCAGAAAAACTTCTTCTCTCTCTAATAACACCATTTCTCATATGAATATGGAACATTTTATTACACTAGTAGAATGGAGACTTACTTTTATCCTCATCACGAAGAAACTTCCGACTCGTGGAAGGAAACTTCCAAGATAATTTGAATAGTCCATTAGCAAACGCGCAATGTGGTTTACTACCTTCCATTATTTCGTAAAAAGAATCATAGCTGAATTAAACAGAAAGCTAAACTATTCTACTTCTCGTTTTCACTGGAATTTTAGATTAAAAATGAGTAACGTCATAGTCAAGATGCAAGTACACCAGGTTCGCATCTTCCAGATGCATTTTCAGCCTGATTTTCTCATCCATAACATCCTTAATTTAACCCTCAGTTTCACCACTATCTATTTATATTTCCCCTTCGGTTGCCGTTAGAACCATTCCCTCATGCACCAGAGCATCATGACGAATAAAGTCGATTCTATATTTACGCTAAGGCTGAATTTTGTTTGCAATTACGGAATTTATCATTTGTACAATACAACGATCGGCGAGTTTATGAAAATATTGACACGATCTCATACGAGATAATATTGGCATATTCCGATTTATAAAAAAAGTGGCAGTGGGGTAATCATGATTCAAGGGTTCGCTACGTAATGGTTCATAGGTGAGTATAACAATCAATAATTCAATCAATTGATTTTTAGATGCGGGGAAGCTCAGTACCACACAACACAGAAGAGAAAAATATTCAAAAGTGTGTCATATTATTTTTTTAATGAATGGATAACAACTAGATGTGTGGTCAATGGAGGTGAATTATAGAGGCTGTTAAACTAGATGATTCGATGATTCAAGAGAACATTAAAGAGTAATCGTAACACGCACAATTCGATCAGTAAAATGATCTTTAAAATGGGACTATGCTACTGCAACTAGACAAGCATTAATGAAAAGTACTATTTTCTGATCATCGATAGTTGAGGCTATCGATTATATTGGCACTCGTATCGTTTGACAGTTGGCGTGAATTTTTCAATATTGACAACTATATTTTCAACGGTAAAAACTCTTGAACATATACAATATTTACAGATTATCCGGGATTATTATAAAGAGTATAAAGAATACAAAATTTTATCTGATACAACGAAGGAACGAGCAAGCCAATCACAACGCTCTTCCAAAATATCTTATTAATTGTGGTAATAAAAATGTGAGAAATCTAGGGTGATCTAGACACAAAAAAACAGGTGTCGAAAAAAAAAGAATAAACAAATGGAGATGGAACGTAAGATGGTGAGACACCAAATAATTATCAATACGACGTTAAATTACTAGTCGTTAGTACACCGAGAGAAAAAAAGAAATGATTAGAAATGAGTATCACTTTCAATCTTGGCACAATCTTCCCCTTGATCGAATGCCAAAGGCAATGCCAAAAATTATGTTAATCGAAAAACGAAGGGATTATTGCAACAACAATCAATTGTAATAACAAAACTGTTTGAATTAGCCTCGATTGTTGAAATAGACTGTGTGCCAATGAATTGAATCCCATCAATGAATTTTCTCTCAGTGCAGCGGTGAGATTCGAAGAAAATGAATAAACTGTGAGTGTGATCATTGTAAAACGTGATTAATGCAGAACTAAGCGAAATTACGACTAGATAAACTAGATCTGGAGGCCTCCGTACGGTATCTCCGATAAAAGCGAGTATAGAAGATGATTATTTCTTCCTTCGTGTCGTGGTACGTGGTACTCAGCTTAGCACTACTTTACTCTTTGATTATGAGTTTTAAAATTTTGCATTTTATTCATTAAGTATGTTAATGGAGTTGGCAAATTTGCTGGTTCATTAATGATTTCTTTTAAGAGGTACCCCAGACTCTGTTGACTCATTCTATCCAGGCTGGTAAAAACCGATTAGTCAGTGTGCGTGGCGTTGCATGAACCATTATGTTTCGTACCGGATTAACTCGGTAAGGCATGTGCCAAGCCGGTGAATTCACGTACCCATTAGCGTAGTTCCAACGGTTGTAATCACCACCTGTCAAAAGTTCACGCCAGTATTCATAAGAATGACCACGACTAAACTCATTCGCCGCGCACATTTATCTCTTCATTTATCACGGAAAAATCAAATAGGTAATCATTGAAAATTATAACAACAACATTGGAACAACAGAATTGGAGTTGAATCGTTAAGTTATAATGATACCTTGTTCCCTAATTTTAATTACGAATTCATTCAATATCCTAATGTTTCTGCATATATATAATATAATAAATATTTTTTTCCGGTGTTTTTGTATATTATATATATACGTATTTTGAGGGAGGTGTTCTTATTAGTTAATATACCGTTTAATTGTATTGAATACAGTATTTCAGTCATTTTCTAATTACGGGAACAGCCGAATTTTTTATCCTTCATTTTTTTTAAGTTTTACGTTGAAAGTTTTTTTAATCAATTCTCGCGAGCTTTCACGATGCCATTCGCCTCGGAATTTTAGTTGAGTTTGAGTGAATGAGGTGCAAATACTTCAAGTTGAATAATTCTTTGAAGGAAGACAATTTTGAAATTCGGATCAGTACGGATGGCCTTTCGCGAAAACTGCGAGAATTTTTTCCGTTTGAGATCATTTATCATGGGGTTGTTTTGATGAATTAATGAATCGTGGAAATAAATTAAAACAATGAAAAAAAATAATTAATTGAATGTGCAATGATGAGTGCAATGATGATGGGTTTGAGACGATGCAACAGATGCAATGATATTTTAGTCTTCAATTTACAGGTCAAACCGATATAGGGTGAGGGGGTGGGTAATGATAATTATCTAAGTGGAGCGACACGAACCACTGGAAGAGGACAAAGGGACTCTGCTTATATCTCCCATCAATTTTTCTCGTAAGTACTAAAGAATCATGCCTTAATTAAACAATGATAAATTAAAATATTAAAACCTTAAGAGCACTACAATATTTTTCTGTTCGTCCTTTGTAAAGAGAAACAAATACAGGACCCTAAAATGGAGATACGTCTCCTACGAGACGAGAATATTAATGCAATGACACATATAAAATTCTCATAATTCCATGGAATGTATTTCAAATCGCTTCAGAACTCTATTTCATCACCAATTCCTTGGATTATCGACTCAGTACTCAGCCAGCGTCGACCGAGGCTCAATTCTCAACAATTAATATCATCGAAGAAGGTCGAAACAAAAAAAAAGGGGGAACAAACACTTCGATGATTAAAAATCTAGGCACACGTTTTTATTCTCGGGATGAAATGAACGACGAGTCTATCTTAACCGTATTATTTACTTTACGAATTTTTGGTTTGGTATTTCGACTAGACACTGAGACAAGCACTCAGCGTTTACGTGCCATTTTCGTAATAAATCGGGTAAAAATGAAAATTTTAATATTCTATATTGAGCAAATTTATCATTCATTTACTTTGTTCAATGATAGTCGAACGTAATCGCTCTTGTAACTAAAAAACATTGAATAATTTTTTTTACCCGTCTATGAATAGTCGACTGTTGTTAAGTAAAATCGTAAATCACGATCGACAACAGCTCGATTAATTAAATATTATGCGGCGTCTGCGATGATTGTCAATCCCCGTGAACTCAATGTCAGTACTATTGATTTTTCTTTCACAATAATAGTATTAACAAAAATATTATTAATAGAAACGTATTATTAAATCTTATTTTTGGTAGTAATACTCACACTTATCTAATTCCCTCTGATTAATTTAAATTCCCGTCACTCCTGTATGTAATTTAAATACCACTCGGACTGACTTAATGCTATTGAATACTTCTTCGGGGTCTCTACCTACAAAAAAGCCTACACCTACAATTATTCTGCAATCTACAATTTATCCCTACAATATTCCGTAAAGCATCGCTCAATGTTTTTCTCAACGTTTAAAATATTAAAACAACTATTACAACAAAACATTATCGTCGCAAACTCCGGTATTAAACACCCAATTCTCCCTAATTCAATAATAACTTATCCATCTATCCCTATCCAATTTCTTCGCATTTTTGATCATATTAAGTATTATCAATTGTTATTCACCCAACGCTTGAGCATCCCTCCTACTTTAGATATTGCCGAATGAATTCCTCACTCTCCTTTTTATTCCACCCACAAAATTCCGATCTGCTATTGACCTTTAATCTCTCGTTGTCTGACGTTTCAATTCACCTTGACAAATATTGACTCTCACATCATTTTCACAAGATCACAATTGTCTAACGCGTGTCATCCTCAGTGTTACGTCGACGAGGGGGTAGATGAGGCGGTATATCAGCATCATCATCGATATCTATGCTCATCTCTGGGAGCAACGGCGGAGGAATAGTTGTGACATCAAAGCTGGAGTCAGTGCTAGACACTATCTGTCCATCTTTGATTTCGAGATCAACAGCGACTCGATGTCTTCGCTTAGCATTCTGCTGTCTCTTTCTCCTGAAGGCTCTCTGACCCCTATCTGGAGTGTGAGCTGGACTATCCATACTGGAGGAGGTGTCTCCCTCACTCTGAGGACTTCTGCAAGTGTATGGAATTGTTTTGGTCCTAATCTGCGCACGAATTGGCATGGGAGGACTGGAGGTCGTTGACTCTCCACTCAAACTCGTTGTGGAGTAATAAGGAGTGGATTTCGCTCGAATTGGTACGACAACAGGTCGTTGGGTGGATCTGGTGCCGTGTCGTTGATCGCCAGGCTCTGAATAGCCCCGATCAAATTTATGAGCTTCTTTTAATCGCCTGTCGTCCTCGTGGGATTGCCTCGGCTCTTCAAAACTCCACTCATCGTCCCCTGACCTTGATCTCGAAGCCAAGTCTGCAAATCTCTCGTGCATGTCTTCAGAGCTGTCACCAGGGCTCACTTTCATCCTGACATTGTCACCACTCGAGTACTTCATGGCTGGAACGTTATCGTACAAACGTTCTTCTTCATCCTCCTCTGGGATGGATCCAGGAATGCTCGGTAGAGCTCCAAACTCGAGATCCTCATCGATCTCTTCATCATAATCACTTTGAAATTTTATTTGAGGAGGAGAGATATCGGTATAGCCAGACATATTGACCTGATCATCGTCGAAACGTCTCCGATGCTCGTCGAACTGACTCTCCACGAATTTCCTAGCCTCGTCGAATTCATCAGGGTCATCGGTTATTTCTGGAGGATACTCCATGGGTAGATCGTCGCTATATCCACATGCACCTTCAGCATCGCGAAGATCCTGCCTCGAGGAGGAAGGACTTACGTGCTGGCACTTTGAGTTTGGCCTCATGCTGGTGATACTCTTGTCAGAAGTCGTTGTGTCACTCTGACTCTTCTCCGTTGCCATGGCTGTGTAATACTGCTGGGGGATAACAGTGGTACTGCCTGACCAGTCTGAAATGGAAGCTCCAAGCTCAGCTAGAGAATTATCATCGGACTTTGTTCCAGAGTATTGACAGAATTGACGAACTGTATTGTTCGAACTCGACCATTCTGACATGGAAAGACCCATTGACGTGTCTTCACTGTGTGAGGAACCAGTTATGTACGAGTTACTCTTCGGTTTTACAGCAATTTTCACTGTACCATCGACAGTTGTTGCTGAGGTTGAGCTTTGCCCATCCTCCAGAAGTGTAGAATGAAGATCATCGTGCAGTGTTCGATTCTCATCACTAGAATCACTGTCTGCTGCTCTGGGTGTTTCGCTACTGTCGGTTACAGTGACTTTCACAGCCTCTTCCGGTTTAATCTCCAGATAGAACGTCTCAACGTGACTGCAGACTACAGGGTCAAATAGTGGAGAACTAGGAGGTGATGGCCAGTCCTCTGAAGTTTGAGGATGCAATCTCGATCTTCTAGTTTTTGGAGATTTATCCTCCTGACCTGGTACATCAATAGGAATATCTGGAAGTTCGGAGGATGTTCTTCGATCATCAGAGACTGACGGTAGAGCAGTGCCTGAGGGAGGATCTGAGGATAGAGATGGCTGATGGTCGCTGGAGATCAGAGACTCGTCATCTAAGCTTGGAGATCTCGAAGATGGTTTGAAAGAGTCTTCGAGATCACTTTTATCCTGCTCTGATGTCGTAGACCTTTCAGAGATTCTTGAGAGAGTTCTCGAAAGTGCAAATGCTCCATAATTCGCCATTACCTCTGCATTAATCGGATAAGGAAGGGCTCCAGCATAGTCGGCAAGATCTTCTCGATAACTGTCGTCGTTTGGACCATTGCTGTCTTCAGAATGTGATTGATGGTGGGTATTATCATCCGGAGGTATCCATCCGGCGTCTTCGAGGCTAGAACTCCCCGAGCTTTCTAAAGGGAAGGGTTTCCATGTCGAACTCAATTCCATTTTAACCGGTGGATGAGAGCAACTGCTGCTCTCTTCCTCCACAGAACCTTCTTTCCTTCCCTCTCTCATCGCTGCGATCTCTCTGCGATCGAAAATTGGTTGGATCTGTCCTATTCCAAGGGGTCGTGCTATCGAACACGAACTCGAGTCCGGATCTTCTCGATCAGGCGTATAAGTACTCGTCTCTTCACTGCGTGAACGCTCTGTACTCAATCGAGATTTCTTTTCGAGTGAGAGCCTATTGGGGTCATCGTAATATTTGTCTCTCGTTGGCTCGTCCTCAGGAAGTTCCTCCGCCCCCTCCATATCCTCTTTACGCATTTCCAAGTATTCGGGAGTCAGTTCCACCTCAACAAGGGTCTTTTCATCCATCTTATCTGCATAATCCGGGGAGGAGACATCGCTGTCTGGACCCTGCATTTGCATTTGTGCATCGAGAGCATCTAAAGTGTCTTCGCTCGTGTCTCCGGAATCCAATCGGGGCTTCTCAGTTTGCTTTGCTTGGAAAATTGCCTGTTCCAGAATTTCATTTTGGTCATCGCTAAGTGGTCCATCAGCGTCGGAGCATTCTTCTATAGAAATCTGAATTGGTGATTTCACCATGTCGGGAGGATCTTCTCCATTGTAGTAGTCTACCGGAATTTCCGTTTTTCCTTCGACAATGCTTACCGTAACGTTGGGAACATCATCCCGCTCGATAGAACCCCCGGGAGTCGCTTCATCCGTTGTTATGGATAATGATGAGCCTATTGTTTTCATTTTTCGTGATGGATCTCTCTTGTCGCATTCGGAGCTATCAGTTCCACTGGAGCTCTCACCTTTTTTCGATTCTGATTTTTTTATTTCGGGAATCGAAGGACTTTTGGATCCAGGAAGCTCTGGAATTAGATCAGGTTCAGTTGATGATTCTACAGAGCTCTGATCGATAAATCTACTTGCGCGCTCGGATTTGGGAGCTTCGAAGATTTCTTTAGGCGATCGTCTCAATGTTTGTTTACCTTCTTGTTCGTAAGGTATCAAGTCTGGACATGCTGTTATTCCCTGGATTTCATCCGAGGGAGATTCCAGGTATTGGGTGGAAGGCTCAGTCATCGATAAAGAATCGGTAGGTAACGCATCTGTACTTTCCGATCGATGATTCGGAGATACCTCAACTGGTGGCGGTTTCGTCTCTCCTTTTTTGGAAATAACCTCGGGAAGAATGACGTCTTCAATTTCTTCAACTGTATCGTCTTTACTGGAGAAAGCGTTGACAGGCGGAAGTTTGTGGAGTGCTACTACTGGAGCGTCTAGGGATTTGGCTCGTCTTTGAGAGGTTGGGGATTGTGTTGCTCCTTGTCGTTGCAGTACACCAATTCCACTACCCTCGGACAGACCTAAACGAGCAAAGAGCATCGGGGAGTCCCCTGGCTGTCTCGAATGTGTGGGAGACAAAATTGTTTTTTGTAGTTTGTCAAATTTGTCTTCTGACTTTGATTCTGTTTTTTCCTTTGATTCTACTTTTGATTCCTGTTTCTCGTCAATCTTTTGGGGTTTTAAATCTATCTGCACCTTTGGTTCACTGATTTCTTTTTCTGATGATTTATGATCTAATTTGAGAGTTGCCTGATCTTCTGCTTCTTTCGCCATCACTTCCTCGATTGTTTCTTCAATAAATGTAGGCTCTTTAGGTTCTACAGGTGATCGTGTTACTGGAGATCTAGATGGAGATCTCCTCGGAGAAATTTTCCCATCTATCGATTTTCCTTTGATGATTTTCTTCGGTGATACTTTTTCGGTCGTTTCTCTCTCCGTACTTCCGAGACTCTTGGATATTCCTAAGGATTTTGGTCTCTGTTTATCTGGCTTAAGACCTCCAAGACTTTTGATTATCTCCTCATCGACTGATGCTGATTTAGCGCGAGGTCTCTTCGGCTCTTCATCCTTCGATGTAGAAAATGAACGATCAGATAATCGTGTTATAGATTTTGATCTGCCTTTCTGAACAATACTTATTTCAGGCTCAACATCAGTCGAATCGATGATTATTATTTCTTGAGGCATCTCTCCCAATTTCAATTTTGACTTGTCGATCTTTGAACTCGCTGGTGATAATTTAGCTTCTTTAGATAAGCTCTTCTTCAGCGGTGGCTTATCACCCTCCAAAGATTTGGATTGTTTTTTGAAGTCCTTTTTCGGTTCGGACTTTGCTTTCTTTATTTTCTTCGGTGACACATCTTGTATAAACAGTTTATTCTCCAATTCAGGAGATAAGAGAGTATCAATTGGCGCTTTCTCTTCGGCGAGTGACAAAGACTTCGATCTTAATGGCTCAGCGTGAGGTCTTAGCATGAAAGGATTGAAGTCAGGTACCTTTAAACTATCAAGTTCAAATGCCGGTTTAACAGGAACTTCGTCCAGTGGTAAATCGGCCACTGGATCAACGAAATCATCGTGCCCTGTGTCAATTATCTTTGGCCTTGGAACTTTAGTTGATGAATTTCTGTTGATTTCGGAAAATCGGGATTCTATACGATCTAATATACGTTTTGTTTTCTCTGGAATGCTGGGTTTCTCCAAAATTTTTGATTTATCGATCTTTTTCTGAGGGGAAGTACCGGATTTAGGGAAGGGCTCACGTTTACTCTCGGACTTACTCTCAGCTTCAGATTTATCTCCGTCCGACTTGGAGACCAAGTGATCCTTTGATGGAACTGGAGGTTTTGCTGAGAGAGGCGGCTTCATGGCACCTTTCATCGGTATTTCAGGGAGAGGAATTTTCTCAATGCTGTCTTGCTTCTCCAGTGAATCATCTGGAACCTTTAACTGCTGTTTCTCAGTACTCAATTGACGTCTCTGCTGCTCCTGTTTCATTTCCTCAACAACAACGTCCGCAAAATTAAGAGATATCCTCGATGGGGATCGCTCAGAGCCAGAGTGGCTCGGACTCACATCAGTAGATCTTCTTTTCTCAATTACAGAAACAATTGTTACATTCGAATCGCTGGGAGATTTCTTCGGCGATCTCTTCTCTATTACTGAGATAATAGTAACATTTGGGTCAGTAGGAGAGAGTTTACTGTACTTTTTATCAATACTGGATCGCGATTCTCCTTTGATTTTGTCTAATGAGGGATGTTTTGTTGGTGTTCTTGACGGAGACTTGAGAATACCTGGAGGAGGACTCTTTTCAGAGGGTATATGGATAATCTTGGGTTCCGTGGGGGAGAGTTTAGGACTCAGCATTTTGGGAGATTTGGATTTATCGGGACTAACTAGAATACTCTTCGGTCTGTCCGTTGAGAGTGTATTAACGGTAATTGAGGTGGGTGTTGGGGGTAATTTAGTTAAATCTAGAAGAGAAACATCAGTGACTTGTTTGATAGGTAATTTCGGCAGTTCAGCGCCTTTGGCCGCCTTTGAATTCTTCCCACTGTCGGACTCCGACTTTTCATCTGACGCAGTTCCATTCATCACGTGCCGTTTGTGCAAAGTATACGGAATATCTGCATTGGGTTTCTTTAACGCACCATCGACAAAGGCGTCCTCGTCACCAGAATCAGCTGGAGTGAGATCAATTGACTTCTGATGCATGAGAATATGCCGTTTACTGTTGGATCCAATCCGTTGTCTTCCAGGATTTGGATCACTCTTTGTACGCTCAACTGGAATGTGTCCGGCTAATGCACCATCATCGAACCCTAAAATTACTCCACCAACTACTTTAGGATCGTATTCTGCAAAACTTGCCTTCGGCTTTACACTCTCCCACTCATTAGGTACACCGATAATAGTTTCAGTTCTAGACTCCATAAAGACTTTAACCTGTCTCTCACGGTCTCGTCTCTCTTCCTCTTTTCTAGCGCGTTCCAAGCTTCTCCAGTCGTCTCTTTCCCTCGGCGAGTCATCCTCGCTCTTCCTCTTTCCACTTTTTTGAGGCTGTTCGAATTTCTCAGAGCCCTTCATTTCCACCATCGATCTGTGTGACCCATCGGAACTTCTTCGCTCTCGTGAATCCATACGGTCGAGGCTCTTTCTATCTCTAGAGTCTTGCTTAACGTAACTCTTTCTATCATTTCCCCGTCTCTCAGTTCTTCTATCATAAGATTTTTCAGTAGAGTCATATCTCTCCATTACAGCTCGATCTAATAATCCTAATCTCTCAATTGTTCGAGGGTCAAAGTCAAAAGTCGGTCTATCTCGAGAATCCAGACGTTCGTAGCTCTTGCCACGCGGTTCCCTCGGGCTATGACGATCGAATGGACTCCTGTTGCCAGAGTCAAATCGCTCCAAAGTATGCCTATCATATTCATAAGCCTTGGGACTTTTCCTGGACTCTCGAGAATCCAGTCTCTCAATGCTTCGCTCTCGTCGCTCTCGCGAGTCAGAATGACGAAATGGGCCTTTCTCCTTTGGACTTCTCTCGAGAGTCTCCAAGCTTTTACGCATCTCTCGAGAGTCTAAACGCTCAATGCTCGTTACTCTCGGCTCTCGGTAATCTCTTCGTCCATTTTTCCCTCTGTCAAGCCTCTCATAGCTTCTCTCGCGCGAATCCAACCGTTCACTGCTCCTCCTCAACTCTCTACTACCATTCTTCTCAACCTGAATCTGTCCCTCACGCAAGTCTAAACGCTCCATACTCCGCCGTTCTCGTGAATCCATTCGAGCCACTGATCGTCTTTCTCTCGAATCACTCTTCTCTAATCGACGAATTTCCCGTGAATTTTCACGCTCAATTCGCTTACGCTCTTCACGCTCGAAACTCTTGCGCTCTTTCATCGCTATTTTATCGATTTTCTTATCGCGATGATTACGACCGAGACTACCAGTTTCAACGTAAGACCTGTGAGTGGTATGATCTTCAAGACTGACTATACTACGTGCACGCGTCGTTCTCTCTCGGGCCTGATCTAGAATTGTGCGATTGGTTTCGACTGGACTCAAGTCATCATCAATTCGTGACTTAGGACGCATTATACCCTCGTCCCTCAACACCTCTGAGTCGACATGGGTTATCTTATATTTCGGCTTTAAATTCTTCAGTTCATTCATAACGGTTAGCTTCTGTTTTTGGACTTGCAAGACAACAGGATCTTTTCGCGCGGAATCCTGATGGGGTAACGGGGGCTTAGAGGACTGATCAATGGAATTAATTTGCCGTGGCTCGTACTTACGTTCTATTTGAGTACTTGTGCGCTGTATTCTGGTCTCGGTAACAACTAAATTACTAGCCTCGGTTTTAGACGCTGCTGAGGACCGCTCGACGGACTTTAGCTTGGCATTTTTAATATCAGCGAGTACAGATTTGAATAATTGTTTGTCAGTGGATTTAATTGATCTGTGCTTCACAAATGAGTCTGTCTCCGAGTCCATTTGAAACATCTCTTGTTCAATTCCCTCGTCACTATTATCAGAGACAGCTTCATCGCGTGGACTGGAATAAGACTCGGGATATTCAAATTCATGCTCGCGCTCGAGTAATTCGTAAGAATCGTGGGATAAATCGTCATGGGATAAATCGGCACCAGGGCCTGACTCCTCGTGGCCCGATTCCGTGGATAATGAGGATGTACCTGGATATGAACTACTGTAAACACGCTCTGGTACTGAATCATGATCTAATGATGGTAATTTTGAACTTGCCGCGCTGTATGAACGATTAGTCTCGTCATAACGTGTTACCGGATTGTCAAGTTCACCCTGCGAGGGTAATTGTATTGTATCAAGGCCACCCTCGGGCTTTTCGTCAGTTTTACGCGCGCGTCCAGAGTCTTCAAAACTCGATGCATATAACTCACGACAACTCGAGGAGCGTTGCCAAGGATATAGGGGCTGGGGTCGCGGTGGTGGAAATTCAGGGGGACTGCTGTTAGAGGGGCTGATACGACCTGTTGACGATGTTATCCGTTGTTGCTGCTGATGTGCACCCATAGTATGGCGATGTGATTGTCCCTGATTGGGGGTAGCTGGTGAATGGACGTCTATAGAGGTGAGCGTCCGATAAGACATAGCTGTGTCGTCGCGACGGTGACTCGTCCCGCCCATCGAGACACTCGTCACAGTCGTCGGAGAATCCAGTGTCATCGAACCGCATGACAGAGACAGTGCCGGGGTTCCCAGAGCTGTTTATCAAAAAAAAAAAAACAGAAAATACATGGATTATAGTTGAATCAATCCTTAAGGGTAATTTATGTTAATAGCTGGGGTTTTTTCAAGTCAGTTCTGCAATCAAAAGCGGTTGAAAATTTTGTGGTCTCATGTCCTTCTTTTTCCCCACTGCAATATTCTTAACTACTGGTTGCAAACATTTAACTCCAAATACAACATTTCCAGATTACAAACGCCGGTGCTCATTCTACCGATTTTTCATTGTCAATAATTCCATTGTTTATTCGTCTCGGTTTGTGTCTAATGTTTAAAAGACAGCTCATCTTGTTTTTGTATCAAAGCAATCCTACAGTTAACTCTATTTATGACCTAAGCGCTACGTCTACAGTAGGACAGTTTATTTACAATTACTCTCAAACGGAAATTGAAATTAATAAATTTTTTAAAAAACCACAAAAAGGCAAAACACAAAAATTTATAACGGACAAAATCAGGAAATGATACGGAGAAGGGCTTTCCTTCTTGCTTCAATTTTTTTTCTCAACAAACAATAGACTTTGATATCTTTTTTTTTTGTGTGGTGGTGTTCGGTCGTGGTACATACCAGGGTCGCCAAGAGGCAGGAGGGGGTGGGCAGAGATGCTGGAGCTGCCCATAAGCGAGCTGCTTGGGGTGGCGCCACGATAACCTGCCCCCTCCGAGCCCTGCAATGCCCTACCACCGCTAGTCTGCCGGAACGAATTGGACCTGCGAGCAAGAGAGAGTCAAGTTCAGCATCAGACCTCTGCCACCGCCAGAATGACAAGATTTCTTTCGTTTTTTCAATATATATTAAATCTTTTCCTTTTTTCCTCAAACAGATCTTTATCAGTTTTTTTCTCTCATCAGACTTAATTTTTCTCGTCTTCTGATTATGCCCCCAGTTTTTTTTTTTGAATCCTCACTTCAATGAGTGAGATCTCTGCGGATCTCTAACAGTAGACATCTGACATGTCTCTCTTTTTCATTTGCTTGTTCTTTTTCTAGTGACACTAGAGACCTCGAGGAGGTCGTAGCCTTCTTTATTCTGTTGAAATTATGAAACTAAGGCTTAATGAGGAAAGAAACGTTAAATAATGACATAACACTGAAAAGATACTCCAGGAATTTTAATTTCGTTGGATCTAATAGGACAATTGGACAAAAGATGCATTCTTCTCTCTATTCCCAACTGTCATATTGGATTTTAATTTCAAGTTTTCTTTTTTTTTTTATTCACTCGCTGGTTGCTAAACTATGAGTTGAAACAAAACTATGAACAATATCCCTTTTGTTATGAGAAACGTTTGTTCTTCAGGAAGACACAGTTCGGAGAACTTTTGCATGCTCATATGGAAAAAGAGTGTGTAAGCTTCCTCCAATATTGTGCGATAAGAATTGATTATTTAAAAATAAGTGGAGACAATAACATTCGATCAAGTAGGACGCGGTGCCGATACGAAAATACCAATATTGTCGCTAATTCGTATTTACAGGGATTTATTGTTTAATGAAGAGCCGGGTTTAACTGTGTGTACAAACGTGATTATTGAGTGAATTATCTTCATCTAATACTTTCTACTATTTTTTTTTCAAACCTCACTATCGATTAGCTTAACCTTCGGCTATTCTATTATTAAAAACATTGAAAAATAGTGACGTGGGACATCGGTGGGAGATAAAATAAAGAATTTTATAACACGAAAGAGAAAAAATAATGGATCATAGATACGCTCGCCAGGTCGATATCGGTAAATATTATATGATAACTGATAATTATTAATAAAAAAAAAGGGTACATCGATCATTCGGGTTTTATCGTGCCTGATGGTGAGCCTGACTCCCCGCCACCCCTTGTTCGAGCAGGCAATACACTAATATGTAGAATTTTCATTTTCCAGGTTTTTCAAAAAGATTATACGTCTTTTGTGGAATAATATTCGTGTGCAGTGTAATAAAATAAATGATAAGTAACAGGTTTAAGGCACACAGACCGTACTAAAGGTAAAAGAGACGAATCAGATCAAGGTGTAGCTGAATACAGCAAGTTGCAATTCATTCAGTGGCATTAAAATCATTGTAAATTACTAGTTCATTCATCATCAATTATTCTACGATTTGTTTCCAACTCGTTTTAAAAATAGTAAAAATTCATTGTCAGTCACTACTACTGGTTATTCACGGATTGGTTAATGAATAAATCAAGGTAGTTGTGATTATTTCAATTTCCCAAAGATTAATTAACAGAGTGTATTAAAATCTACATTCTGCACTCAAGACTTTGGTTTGAAAAAAATTTATCACTTTCTGGGATTCGAACTCGGACCGTTGAGGTGGTGAGACGAATCCCATAGCTCTGCGCCAAATACCTTTACGACACAAGTAGCAAAAATTTGATGTAATGTATTCATAATGATTTTAACCCACTGATATAGTAAAGTGCGATGAATGCAATTATACCGACGTGACATAAACAAATACAGTAGACTCCCGTTATAGTCGCGCGCATGGGGGAGCGAATCCGGAGAATTCGACTATATTCAACTCTTTTTTCATAACAAAATTAGAATACGAGAGAAATTCATTTTTCGGCTTTATTTTGCTTGGGACTCAATTACTCACCGGACGAAACATTGGATTGTTCACATCTTGTAACCCCGGGGTAGTAGATTTGGGAGAATCGAAAGATACGCCAAAATAAAAATTTAGGAGAGGTGCGACTATAACGGAATTCTACTGTAGTGATACTTTGAGTTGTCCCGGCGATAAGCGAGACCGTGCCACCTCCATCTCAACGAATAAAAACATCAAGGTGTTTATGTGTTACAATAAAAGGAATTTCATCACTTTGTGCTTGTTACACTTAATGAAAAAGTCATCAACGTTATCAAAAAATCAATCTTGGGACTTTCCAGGGAGACAGACGCAATTTACTCATGCACTATCTACATCATTACTCTGAGTTCGTGTATCTCATTGTTTTTTTTATCAAATCGGACAGCGAATCCAGCATTCCTGGCTTTGTCATATGGTTTTCCAATTATATTTATTTGAGTATTTGACTTATATTTTGTAAATGAGGACTCACCTTTGAAATGTTTGACGTTTCACGTAGTTATCACGGACGAACTCGACTATCTGCTTTTGCGTTTTTCCACTGTACCTGTTGACAGACCATATGAATAAAGATGTGAATAAATATTATCAAGTCAGAAATTGCTACATCTTGTGATCTCACGATTTGATCTTATTATTTAATCGAAATACCTGAAGGATGAGCCTCGACTAAGAACTCTGGTTTTCTGCCTAATGACTCGTTTAACAACCGAACACCTGAAAAATCCGTGATTTTCCACGCACTTTTTCCAAAAATTTTTGCACTCATTCCTCCCTTCGAAGAAAAATTCCACCGTATCTTTATAATATCCCTGCAGAAATAATAAATGAATCAAGTCGAGGGGGCATAAATCATAAATATTTTGCAATCTAAATATACTCACGTATCCCTCGGGGTGTAGTTTGATTAAGAATCGTTTCCGTTTGAAACTTATTTTACGTATTTTAGCCCAGCTAAATGTGTTTATCTTTGTATAATGTTGAAAGACTATAATGCCCATGTGTGCCACTGCTAAATTCAGTGGGACTCCCTCGTGATCCTTGACAAAGAACGGAGAAATAATTAAAAAATAGTGATAGAGTAAGGAGCAAAGTATCCGGTATAAGTAAAAAGAGTTATGAACTATTTTATTTACCTTAGCCGGATGCATTTTCATTCCATACAGTTCACACCGTCGCGCTGTCTCCAAGAGATTTAAATCTGCCTCTGCGGGAGACTGACCTCTGCAATATATATACATATATATAGAAGCCAACGAAAATTCGAGCTTATAAAAATTGTCCTCTACTTGCGTATTTTTCCGCTTTTCTATAATTAGTTTTTAATAAGTATTCCATTTTTGAAATTTCAATTATATCAATTTTATGACCCTACTAGATACTCCACAGAGAATCCGACACTCTGTGAAACTTTTCTCTTGGGTGAATCCTCTTAAAAAACATCCAAATTTTTCTGAAGGTAGCCCTATAGAAATCTCCATAGAAACTTTAATGGGATGATCCAATAGAAATTTTTTTATACATGTTTCTATCTGTCATGAACTGGTTCCAAAGGGTGTCAGTACTAGTATATGGGGTGTTGAACTCTTTTCTAAGTTTCAGAAACTAGAGCACAGAAGTTCCTTATTCACGTGAATATTGATCCTTTTTTTTCGCACAAAAAGGATGGGACCATATATTAAACAATGACAATCTCTAAAAAAATCCTCCAAAAATGTTCTATTAGCTGCTATTTAATTGAATTTCCTTACGCATGTTTTTTATGATTTTCCATGATCCGTCGTTCGAGTTCCTGATCCTGATGCGGTACGAACTTATACGTAGACAGATACGTATGGTCAGGGTAATCTTCGATGACGTAATCTCCGCATTCAGCTGGTGACAAATGAGAATAAAAAATGACGATACAACGGGCACCTTCATCTGATTATTTAAATCAACAGTACGTGAGAATCAGTCGATGAGTCGTACTGTCTCACAGACACAATGAAAACTTACCCTGTACAATGTAACTAGCCATGAGCGCAGCGGTATTGTCGTTGCACTGTAGATATCCCTGGGACAGGTCTCGCTTGATTTGAAGGCAAAACAAGTATCTGGTGAACTCCTCCTCGAGTTGGCCGGGATCGGGTGTGTAAAATTTTACGCAAAATCTTAACAGTGGATCTACCAGGGAAAGACCAACTTGTCTGCATACTGGTTTCTCCAGGTCTAGCCAGTACTGAAATTATTTTCATCATTCAGTCATGTATTTTACAACCTTTCATCCAATGAATCGGTTAAATGTTCAGGGAAAATGAAAAATCGTTAGTGATATTCGGATAAATTAATCCATGTCCATCAATTCCGAAGACGAATTTATGACTTCTGATAATCGAAGCATTTTGATAATTCGATAAGAGGGTATTTAAACGAATTCTCGGTATATTACGTATCTCAAGGCGAGTTCCAATATTATCTTTAAAATTGTGGTTTAAATTAATATTTACAATTACACATCACTTATCAATAGCTCATTCTCCACTTTAAATAGTTTAATTCGGCATTTGTATGGCATTGTAAATATGAAGCGATTTCCATATGTGTTTCAACTAGTTTAGTAAGAAAATAAAAACATTGGAAATTCTCACGGTAACTGCTTCCATTCGGAAGTAAAAAATTAAAGCGAAATTGGAAGTTTAATTTTGCCCGGCGTTCATCTCTGTAAGTGTATATTGAGTCAAATGCAATTTTAATTCCGTCTCAACCATTATTTATCCAATTTATTACTTATCTCAATAACTTCACCACTTATCTCATTCACCCGTTAAAACGCTTATAAAAAATGGATGTATCATGTCATATAATCAATAAGAAAAAAGATAAAAAAGAGATAATGTATTCACCTTCGTTCCGTTCGGTTCCTGATATTCCAAACCGAAGTAGTCCGCTTCTAACAGGTGTAATTGTTTGCAGACTTGGTCGAACAACACGCGACCCATAGCTTTCGCCTGTAATTCCCATAAAAACCCATTATAGAATGCAAATTATGTTCACATAAATAAAGTCGTTGTACAACTTTGGAAAAATATTTGCCCTCCTAGTGATAAAACTTTACAAGTCGACTTCTCTCGTCAACCGGGAAGTTATCTCGACACTCACTGATGGTGCAATCAAATATCAAGAGGCTTTCTCCACTTTTTCAGTCTTCTTCACAGAATAGAAAAAAAGCCGTGAAAATAATCGTAAAAAGAAAAAAAAATCTTAATTGTGCAACATTTCTCATTGGACATTGCCATTAAACGAATGACAAAAGCATCATTTTCGGCTCGAATCCCATGGAGATGTAATGGCCATTAAAAAATAAATGCGTAGAGTTGAATGAAGTCGAATTGAAATCTTTGATTATAATCTCGAGAGCTTTGTTATAAAACTCCAATAATAAATGTATATTCCTGCTTTCCCAGAACTACCATAATTTTTCATTATACACCGCTCCTTCCTACAATGCATAATGAAAAAGAAGAAGAAAATCAGTCTGACATTTTTATAGAGAGGAAGACATGAGAGAATATAAACTCTCGGCCCAAAAATAAACAAACCGACCTAACCGCTCCAGGTATTATCTTCCGTGAGTACGCAAACATGTGCTTTATGAGAGCGAAAGAAAAAAATGGGGAGGAAAAGAAAATAGAAAAAATGTAGCGAAAAAAAAATCAATAGGTCAGTCTTGCAGCTTCTTCCCCTCGGTTGTTGCAAACTGACACACCTCAGCGTTAAACTCCATCACTGCTTGTGCATAATGCGCCCTAATAACTTATCCCAGTGGAAATAATATTGTACCCCGGAGTTTATGATAAAGCAGTAACAGGATTTTCAACGAAGGTGAATTGACTGACCAGGTCCAATTGACTATTCCGTTACAGATTGAACTAATCCCTTTCAAGGCCAATGCAACTAATCAGACCATTTTTTTCAGGCATTTACGACTTCAATTGTTGGACAGATTAGCGTTTCCCGGTGTTGGGCAATTGCACGAAAAATTTATGATATTTGCACGGTCTGAAAAAAGGGAAGTTAGATCAGTCCCAGGCCTTCAATATAAAGTTTTTCATCTGCCAAGAAGTCTCCTGACATTGTCTCACATCTGACAAAAACACCTTACGCAATACAATAGAAATTGTCAGACTTCTCTCTAAAATTATTAACATTTTCAATCAGTTTCTTCTGGGATTGAGAATACGGAAATGATTGTGGGTAAATGTGACCAAGCAATTGAATTTCTACAGATAATTGAATCCATGAACAATTAAAAACCCCGATCAATTATCGAGTGGGTAACTTATTCAGTAACAGAAGCGGACTTGTAAACTAGACCCCTTGACCCGAATAATCAAACGGTTACTTGTAAAGTGCCTGGATGGGCAGATTAAATAGGAAGCAATTACCCTTCTGCAACTCGTTCTTTTCTAGTCAAATGAAAAACGGGAAAGACACCTCATAAATTTACAGTCACATTTAAATTGTCATAACAATAAGTGTTACTGGGACGAAACCGTCCCCATAGAAGCAGAAGCATATACCATTCGAAAAAAAATGTAATTTCATTCATAGTCGAGCTTCAATATTTTCACAGAATATATTCATCAAATTTTTCTGGCTTTCTATTCATTTTCGGGGTTGAATGAAACGAAAATCCACCAGTTTGTTTGATTTTTCTCCGAAGGTTCACATTTCAATGAAAGATTTCAGTGGAAATTCTGTGGAATTAAATCACGATAGAAATTGTCGAAAATTGACAAGGAAAATCCAGAAAAATTTGTTGATAATGTAATTCTCACGCCCGAAATCAATCTAGGGTAATGAAAAATGGGTAAAAAATAAATAAATAGAATGTACCTGCACTTGAAACATAGTGATGGTGTCATCCAGCATTTGCACTCTAACAGCAAGCATTTTTCCAGCTTTTCTCGGTGTAGTGGGTGGCGTACGACTGCCACCATCTACACCAGCGGGTGTGGAGTGACTGTGCGGCATCTTGGAGCTGATCATCCCTAAATTGTCGATATCATTCATAGTCCCATCCAATTAATTTGACTGATACCACCCCGCTCCACGTCCTTTATCCTTTCTATCCCCTTATTCTCAACCAGAGTTCATCGATCTTCCCCTCTCGACGTTAGGTTGTCATCCTACGCACAGAGAGATAAAAAAAACATTTCCCACATCCATAAAAAAAACTTAAAATACATTCCCAAAGCCCTGAAAAAAAATTGCTCTCACGCAAGCCCTTTGACAACAAAAGGCCCCTCATTTCCAGCATGGAAATATGTAAAACTACATCGTTCGTTGGTGATAATCACGCACTCTGATGTAACCGATGTCACAAAGACGATAAAAGGACCGTCGTCACTCGAAAAATGATGAGACAAAGCCGGCGAATAAAGAAAAAAAAACAACAACAAACTAGACGAGCAAATAGACTAAACAAAACTCGAGTCATAAACGTCGATACACTATCACTCACATCAATGCCTGCTCCTCATTACGACACACTTGAGATGTTGAATGCATCAGGAAGACTGGAGATAATATAATCACCCGAAGGTCTCACTGAATTCCTCAACGATGGTCAATCAAATTGATAATCTCTCAATTCAATGAGCAACGAAAGAGGACGATACAAAAAGTAAAAAATAATGGTAAAGGCATTTTGAAGGGATGCGGGCGTAGTGTCGAGTGCCAACACTGGGCAAGCACGCCCCAAAACACGAAGACAGGGGCCCCTAGAGTTCATTGATCACCCGGCATTGCCAAACCCGTACAGCCTCTCCTCATTTTAACAATATATATTTTTCACTCCAACACTTTTATAAACACACGACTTGAATGAAACATCTGAACTCAAACTTACTTAATAGTATGGGCCACGGGTGGGTCTTACTGTGATTTAATCGGTGTATTTTCCTCGTTACAAAATGCCCAGTGTTGGGCGAGGAAAACCCGTGGATTCCGAACCAAACTAAAACACCTACGGAGCACTGATGGCTCTCCTTCTCTCTCACCACTCGCTTCGGTGGAGTGAAACGAGTGAAACACTGGCGCTGGGAAATACTGACGTGAAATGTGTTGGTTTGCGTCGTTTGTGTGCCTCTGATAGGTGGGGAGAGAAATCAGTGGTTCTCATCCACCATAAAATGGCCAACTGGTGCGCCTCCAGCCACACTGTCTCTATTTTTTTACAGTTACATTTCACTGAGACAAACCTCCGGTATTCATGTTTATGTCAGGCGTTATCGTCACCTCCAACGATCATCAATCCGACCACCAGTTTCACGAGAAAAATTCCATACAATTATCCCTCTAATCATCCCAGGGGTAACTGAGCATTTTTACATTTTTTTCATTTTTTTTATTTCAATAGGTTTTCCGGGGGTATTTAGATGTTTTTCTTTTTTTCACGTTTTGCTTTTTTTTCAGGCCTTTTTTGTCAAGGATTTCCACACCGCTTTTGACAGAGAGATGAATGGAGTCGTTGGTATTGTTATTTTGTTGGCGTAGTTGTTGTTTTTAATAATTCATAATGTGTTGGGATGAAAAGTGAGCGGTCTTAGAGGTATGTACGTTGGCGCAGCCGCAATCACAGTACATTATACATGATGCACTCCTTGGGTATTAACATCGAAGGCCACATAGGTATATCCAAGATTGGAATGGACAGAGGTCTTTTGGTGGTAGGCCCCAACTGTCCAATCAGGTATTATGGGATTTTGGTATGTGCCGAGGAGTTTGGCAATGCACAACAATCGGTGTCAGGAGGGAATATGGACTGGAATCACTGGAGAAACTCGATATCACACTGGCAATCACTACGGGGAAGTTGTGGAAATGCAGGCTTTTTTGCAGTAACCGAGGATTGAGTGGCGGAAAGGGCCACGCCCTTTCTCCCATTTTATCCGGGGAACGTTTATGTATGGATTATTACGGATAATGTATGCGTCATATTTGTGGAATTCTGATTTTATACCTTTTCTGTAGGTGATAGATATGCAGGATTGCTGGTCGGTTATGATGACAAGTGTAGTTACACTGAATAATTTAATGCCTTTAATCAAAGTGATGATTCATCACTTAACGGAAATCTGCAGCAATGGAAATTATTCAGTATGCAAAGCCCATCGAAAATTGATTCGAATGAATTTCAATTCCTTGTGTTAATATTTGAAAATGATTGTTCCGGTGGTTGAATGCCTTTGGCATATACCGGAGTCGATTTTATCGGCTAGGCAGGGAGATACGGAAATGAGGAATATTTCATGAAGAATGGTCCTGTTTACGAACAAAGTCTCGCTTAGACTCAATCTTATAAGCCGAAAAATCACCCTCAGTATATTTATCTATTTTTTCTTACTCCTCTACTGACACGGTTTATCGCTTTAAAAATATACGTGCCAAATGCCCTTCCCAAAAATTGATGAATAGATATGTGTAACTGAGTCACGTAACCGCCGAAATCGGACAAGGAATGTCTCGCTTTGTTTCTCATATTCAAATGAATCAGCACTTTCTTGAATCGTTCTGCGCAGTAAAAATAAAGAAGTCATGGACTTTCCATAGAAAACATTATGGAATTTAAAAAGTCAGAAATTATTCGAAATGAATAATTTCACCCGAAAGGGGTTCATTCATCATCTATGCAAACTCGTCTCATTAATCGCTTCCTCAATCGTCTGTTTCTGTCTTAAAATTGATTAAAGATTTTTGGTCCAGTTTACCTCTCTCTGGTTCGTGAGAAAACTCGTATAACAAGTTTATATAGACCGCACGTTCTCCCTCGATCAATAATCAACTCTGACTTTTTCATCGAATTTTACGAATGAGAAGAAGAGGAGACAGAAAAAAATAGAAGCGCCTGCACTTGTTTCATTTGGTTTTATTTCTTTCTTGAGCTAAAATATGAGTCTATTTACTATTCCGTTTCCTGGCATATGTTGAAGGCCCACTGCCAGACTAGACCCCCCGTATGCAACATAAACTTTGAAGGGAAATAAGTTTTTTAAAGATTTAAATGCATTACGTGAACTGCAGCAAGCGGTCTAATTGAGTTTATCATAGCTTTAATCATCTAATTGGCAGAGTAGTGCAAGTCCACGTTTGATCCAGTGGTTCACGGGTAACACGGTATCAAGCAGAATCATTAAGACGTAATTAGTTGAATGACCAGTTGTTTTGAGAGTACCAAATCTCGCGGATGTTATGTATAATGGGCACTCGTATCGTGTTCCTATCTCAATTAAAGTTGCTACTGTGGGCTTGAACCATACAATGGGCAGTGAATCCCAGAGGACTTTAGGGTAACTCTCGGTTAGATGCATTGTACCAATGTCCCATCTGCCACCTGACAGGTACATTCCATATACGTAGACACCGTCCTCAGGTGATTCATCTAATTGATAGGCTTTGATTACCTGTTGTTGAGAAAATTGTTGGAGTCATTGAGATGCTAGGCATTATGTTATTGCTATGTTTCTGTTGACGCACCAGATTTTTATTGAGAATAATATGTTTTCTTTAACTACTGACCTCGAAATCAAAGTCCAGTTTGTCGATGGAAATTTTGTATTTTCTCGCGTAATTCTGCATTGCCCCAGTGAGAAAGGCATGGACAAAAGAGAAACCGGAAACCCAAAAGGTCGTGGGCTTTCCGTTTGTCAACCAGTCTTGGAAAAATTCTAGGCGCTTTAGGAAGTCGGCAATGAAACTCGACAGGGGCTTCAGAGTAGGGTAGGCACTCGCTTTGATCCACGTCGGCGGGATTTTCCCGTTCATCATGTTTTGAGAGAGGACCTGGGTAAATAAGAAGATGTGTTGAAATGTAATTCCGGATATTTATATATCGAATGTTTTTTTTCAGATAACACCAAAAACAGGGATTTCAGGTATTCCGTCGTAATTGTGGGATCAATGAAAATTTCTATACCTCTAATTCTGGTGTCATCACAATCATTCCCTGAACAGCTTTTTCCAGCATCCGTAATGACCCTCGCATCGCTCTCAAAAGGGTGTTATACCGTTCCATCTCCTGGATTAAAACCGTATTCATGGATTCCATGTAGGACACCGGGTAAATTTTCTGTGCCTCCTCAAGATCAAACAGATTTGGCAAACGATTATAAATGTCCCTCTTCATTGTTAATAATAATTCATCCTGTTTTGAGGTGTCTCCCACGGTCACGGTTCCCTGAATTTGTAACATTGAATCGAAAAACATTTTCGACACCTCCAAATCTCTTGTAATTCCCGCATTCATGTGGAGGCCGAACACTTCCGGAGGCGGATTCATGGGGATACCCTCAATTTGTCTTATATAATCACGATAACCAAGCCTAAAATCAAGAAAATAAATCGCGCAAATTACGATAAATACGAAACTCGGATAATCTCTCGATGAAAGAATTTATTGTTATTTTCACAGGGAAAGTAAAAAAAATCGAAGTATTCATGATGACAAAATTAGAATATATAAACATTAGAATTTAAGAAATTCTAGGGAAAAATTATTCAATAGACTGCGGTAAATCTGACAGTCGGTACAATAGAAAGCGAGGCTCCGATGATAAAATTCATTTGGCAAAATTTTCACGCGCAACATTTTGACGTAATATTTTCGTTGGTAATTTTTTTGCAATTAATATTGCTCGCAGTAAAACTTAAACGCGATACCACGATGAAACCAACATGCGATAAATATTTTTCGCATTTGGATTTTTCCTCTGTTTCTATACGAAATCCTATATTTCTCATATTTGCAAGTTTCTCCGAAATTTCCCCTCGAGCCCTCTGTTTCGGAACCTTGAGTAACAATTAATAAAAATGTCAATTCCATAAGGACTACTCCCCTACAGGGGTCTGTGACTCCCCCAGGAAAAAAAGCATTACAAAAACATGGGAAATACCTTCTGGGCAATGTATATTCACTCCCCATGCCGGAGAAGCTGTAATTAACGTCTTCAATGACCTCCATATTATAAAAATCGAGTAAAATCGTATTGAGACATCGTCTATCCCTATCATCTGTGACTCTCCCTCCATAATTGCACTCTCCAGTAAGATACTTGATAGCTTTGAAAGGAACCTGTTGAGACTCATTGATAAAAATTTGCAGCTGCTGAACAGAAATTTGAAAGTCAGATTCGTTAAATCCGTATCTTATATTCCATCCTTGTGCACCGTAATTTCTTCTCTCTTGAACTAGAGCATGAAAGAAACAGAGACCATAAAGTAGCCTTGTGAATATCTTCTCCTTCCTTGGGCAGCCTTCAAAGAATTCCGGATTTTTAACTGGTTCTGATGTGTAAGATCTCATGAGATTCTGCTGCAAACCGGTTGGTGGTTCGTTGGTCATCTTGACGCCACTTTGCAGTACAGAGATGGGAAATTTATCAGAGGGATAGCTCGTTAACCAGAGGCGAAAGTTGATCGATGTATTTGTCATATCAAAGTTCTCGCAGATCTTTTCCAGGACAGGCATCCACGAGACAGCCAGATGACAATTCTGGAGACATACCCATGAGCCAGTGTTCTGTGCATGTTCCACCATTCTCTTCGCAATGGGCCCCTGTCCTTGACCCAGAGATATTGATGTAAACCTTGAAGTATAATCCATGTTCTCAGCGAAATTGGACAGGGCCCCCATGGGATCCGAGCCAGGAGATAGGATAAATATGAGAGGAACTAGGCACATCGAGTCTGCGTACGATTTAGCTAGATCGAAGCTTGGTGGGATAACGAATTTACGGCCCATCCCCTTCTCCACAAATTGGATTACCTTGAGAGTTATTTTGTCCGGTCTCAGCATCCTCAGAACAATTAATTTCTGAAAATCTAAAAGAGCTTCTTCAATCAGACTCGAGTTGTATGGCTTTCGCTATTAATTAATGCGATTTTTTATTTATCGGGGGCTGAGCAATGTTGCGGTCTGGTAGGACTTAATTAAATAAATTACTGCCTCATTTTTAATAACTCACAATTCAGTTATTGAATTAATGACTGCTTCGAGAGGAAATGGGCGAGATGAAAGTTTCCGTGTGTCTGCACGGAAGGGAAATTAATAAAAATTACGCGATAAAACGCGATTCGCGATGATATATAATATAGAATATATTTGTGCGAAGGTAGATATTAAATGATACGTCAATGAACTGCTTGTCATATAGAATCCTTTTCTAAATAAATTTTCCCTGAAGTTTACCTGATAATGTCGACTCCCAGGGCTCTGGATATTTCGATTTCTCAGGCGACATCGAGTCATAGAGTTCTTTCCAGTCGTTCAAATGTGTCTCAAAGTTTTTTGCAAAGTTAGCGAAAGGCGGAAGTTGGCCCACCCTCGATATTTCCTCCCACGATTTATCTGGAAGCCAATCAGCCGCAGGATTGTCCGGAGTTTTACCCACGACAATGCCCCCGGACAAAAAAAACATCAACTCTGATTTTATTATTTTCTGTTCGGCAAGTAAAATTGTTGTATGTAACAAAAATGAGTAGAGAACTTTATCTTTTTCTAAGAGCGATCTGCAGACATTTTGGTAGAGATTGTATGTAAATGTGTCTCGTAGATACATCAATCGTTGCTCAAGTATTTTACTCTTGTTTGCTGTATCTATGGACATGATGTAAAGGTTGATGAACCACGAGAGTGAATATTGGTACATCGGGTCGATGCTGGGGAGATCGGTTACTGTGTAATATAATGAAGAGCTGTGTTTGGCTATTGGTCTGTAACTCTGGCGGAACTCCTCGATTTTTTTTTCCGTCCGTTTGGCAGCTTCTTGCTTCTTCATTATATCGGTGGAAAGAAGTTTCGAAGAGTCGAGTATCTCGATAGCTTCCTCATCATCTAGGATTGCCGCGCCGGATGTTGCTAGGGTTTTTAGAATACTATCCTCGACGCCTTTGAGGGCTTTTCGATTCGCAGCTCCTTCGACGATTAGGAACTCCCGTTTTTTCTGAAGGTCGGGGCGCTCTTTCGCCACAACTATCCCCAGGAGTTGATCTTCCAGGCCTTCAATCGTCAGTGCAAAGTTTATTAGAGTGACTTTATTAAAGACCTCGGGAAGATAGTGGGGATTGCGGTACTTAGTGGTCATATACAGGCGAAATCTCTCGTCATATTGAATAGTTTTTTCCCCGAGGGTGATATACAGGGCTCCGAAGATTTTGTACGTATTTTTTGTGAGGATCGGATCGAGGGGAGCATCAAGGTCTTCAGCAATGTTTTCGATTAAAATCGGCTTTCCAAATTCAACGCATTGTTCCATAATGTCCATATAATTTTTATCCGTCAACTTGACAACTTCCAATTCACTTGCCTTCTCCATATTTCTAATCCACTTATTCGCTTGACTCTGCGGATCAATAAACAGACTCCATCGCTTAGAATTATCCATAATGATACCATTCTCAGTTGAGAAACTGTCTCTGGGCAATCCGAATATATTCCACGAGTTGATTTTAATCTCAGATCCCAAAACTGTGACAAAGTTGAACTCCCCGGAGCAGGGAATCTTCAAATTTTCAACGTAAACTTTCCACTTGTCCACATACTCAACTCGGTAGGAAGTTATGAATGGACCGAGATAGGCAATGATGCCGCAGGAAATGAGAATATCTCCGGGTAGTGTATCATATGCCCTTTGGAGACTTTTTGCCGAACTCATCCAACGGTCCTTCTCACCACCCAGTCCATTGATTAACTTCTCCGCCCTAGTCAGTTGATTTCTACATGTTATCACCTGATTCTCCAGAGCTATTTTTTTCTCTATTGTTCTATCAAGGTCTTCTCTCAGCAATGCCAACTTTTCATTCAACTCTATCAACATCTTTCGCTGTTCATCCAAAAATGTCATTGTGTCCATGTAATCTTTTTCGGCGGAAGCCAGTGCTGCTTTTTTAGGCGCCACTTCTCGGGCAACTTTATCGTACAATACCATCGCTCTTACCCATTTGCAGAGACCCTCCGCTGCTGAAGAGGCTTTTGCTACGATTTTTGGATCGAAACTTGCATTGGACAGATACGTCTTCTTTATTGTCTAAATTTTCAAGAAAAAACCAATTGAATCGAGCGATTCAAAGGAATGGCGATAAAATAAATTCAATTTTTTAGATTACAGGTTATTCCTAGAAGTGATGGGCAAAAAAAAAATAAACATTTCATTTGCATTTACATTTTACAATTACCAAACATTAATACTTACCTGTATTGTCTCAATGGAAATATTCTCCTTATCATAAGTCTTCAAATTCTCCAAAAACTTGATGTCACTAAGAATCCTTTGAGCAGCCTTCCAATAATCCATCTTGGTCTTGCCAGTGCTTGTATCTAAAACCTTTTCAGGCTGAACACTCAACATAACACAAACAGCCGCCATAACCAGTTTAACAGTCTCGGGTGGATTTTTCATGGTCTTCACCATGGCGATATCCGCAGGTTTGAGTGTATCCAGGGCAGCGATGGCCTCATTGAGAACAGGCATAGCTTCTTCAAGATCGGCCTCACACTCAGCCTTTAAAGCCCCGGCGACCTTGGCCTGAACATTGGCAGCATCCTCATCCCTCTTGACCTTCATCGTGGCTTTCTCAACAATCACATTCTCCTTCTCGATCTTCTGCATAGTATCAGCAGTCAGTTTGGCAGATCTCTCAAGTTCTGGCCTCAACGCCACCAGAGTGATCTTCATTTTTGATATTTGTTCGGCAGCAAATGCCAGTTTCTCCAATCCCCCCAGATACCGATCCCTGGCCAGTGTGAGCTCCTCTTGCTTCTCCTGCATCAGATCGGCGTAACTTCGTATCAAATCGAGGAAAGCCGCGGACGTTACGTAAGTTTTTCGTCCCTTGGCTTGATAGAAATCTTCACTCATCTCTTTAGCGCATATATGGAAATACTTGCACGCAACCACAGCATTCACTTTCACCTCATCTTCGACATTGATATCGGTAGTGAATCTGACAGCAACCTGTTCTAGAGCATCTTCTGGCCATATCTCGAACCAGTCTATGGTACAGCAATTGACAAGACTGGGATACATCCGCAAACGAGTTCTGAATGAGTCGCCGATTGGACTGAAGCAAAGCATCAAGTGCAATTTTTCTTTGCACTGATTAACGAAGAATGATAAGACAGAGAGAACGGAGATATCGAGATTTCGGTTGCCACCTTGGGCTGCCAAGCGACACATTTCGATGACTTCCTGTCTTTCCTCTATTGTGAAGAGATTGGGCACTTCACCGGCGTTGAGGAGACTGTCGATGTCGCTGAGGAAAGCCTCTTCTTTTATTTGACCTTCTGTTATCAGGAAGACTAGGTCCTTTTGCACACCCCCGGAACGTTTTAAAACGCCTTTTATGTCCTCTCGCCATTCGCTTACCCCGTAGGCACTACCTATTTCCGGCTGGAAGAGACCGCAACCTGCCATGTTTGAGGCTAGTCTTGTTAGGGATTGTCGGCCAGAACCTCCAACGCCAACCATTAGTAAACTTCCACCTGGAATTGCGAGAATTCTGCAGACCCGCGCCAAATGCTCTAACGCATATCGAAACAGGACAATGTCCATCTTATTTCTGTGAGTCGTGTTGTAATCCTCGAGACTCAATGTCGCGACATTCTTGAACTCTTCCATCGAAGCCACTTCCTCGTACCTCTTGTCCTCTTGAATGGCATCTGGATCCATAAAATTTCCAAATATTAGATTTTGAAGACTTACTTCATTGATTTGATCATTATCCTTTGGTAAATGTTCAAATACAACTTCGAAGTTCTCTCTTATGATTCTCTGGACCGTATCCTTTACTTGTTTGAAAAGCCACTGTCGGTCTGATTGATCGATTAATCGATCTCCAAACACTCGCAATATCTCATGAACCCAGAGTCTTGTGAAAGTAGTCTTGGACTCCACAGACTCTTTCTTGATCATTGCACAGCCCCTGATGACCCTCGAGAAATCCCTCAAATTGAACAGATAATGAGATTTTGCAGGAGTGGGTCTTAAAAATTCACCGGCACTTTTAAATACGTCTAACGTGGCATTTACAAGACTTATAACTATGGACATCACATCCGCAGCGAAGCCATTTCGTTTGAGCCCAACCAAAGCGAGATTCGTAAAGATCTTGGTGACACTTTCGTCTGAGAAATTATTGATCGAATAGAGATTAAAGTGCCGAAGAAATCGATGATAGATCTCCTGCCTGCTGCCTCCTGGTGGTCCCATAGCGCAAACGAACATGGTGTCATAGATCAATAGCTTCTCAGGTTCTTTCAGCTCGTACCAGTAGTTGTGATCGAATACCTGTCGAAGAAGTTCGATCGCCGGTTGTGCTCCGTACACCTCCTTCGTCGGCATGTTAACATCATCGATAAAAACTATGCAGTGAGTTCCAACCATCGGCCCAAACTGCCCTTTCCTCCTTTTGTAGAGCTTCGAAATCACCAGCTCTTGAGCATTCGCTGCCGACGTCTTTGCGGTGAACGTGATCAAGTTTGGGAGGTAGAACTCCTCCTCAAGTTTGTTCATCATTATATCTTGAATATAAAAACTCTTGCCGGTTCCAGTTTCCCCAAAGAGAAGAAATCGTTTACGATGCTTAATGTGTTTCAAGAAAAGACTCTGATATTTAATGGTATCAATGGTAGGAATTATCATTTGTCCAATGCTTGCAGTTTCGATGATCTTTTCCATCCTCGCAGCATCCCCAAAATTCTTCCAAGCTCCCTTGCCCTTGAACGTGTAGAAATTATCGTGGATCGAGCCCTCAGTTGGTAACGAGATCAAATCCTCAAGAATGCTTTCCGGCACCGGAAGCTCCTCTACCTGATTCTTCCACAAAGAAATGCACAATTCATTAAATCTTTCTAAAGAATCTGCATCTAGGGCTCCTCCGATCCCCCAGACAACGGCAAGCATCATAGCTGCTTGAATCCAGAAAATCACATTTGACTCGTAGTCATCATTCTCTTCAACTGCATCATTCATGTACATTTGAAAGAGATTCATGGTTGATACAACTTGATTGATTTGTCCGGAGAATAACGAGATCTTACACCTTTTTCTCACGAATTCTAAAGAGGGCTCGATCAACCAATTGAAAAGATCCTTGATAGTATCCATTTGGGGCTCTGCCCATGTCAAGTCTAATGTATTGTACCAGGACTCGACGAAGGGCCTCCAGCCGATGACGTGGGGTTCGATATAAATCATCCCACACCGTGAGACCGTCGCTGGCGATGCTTGAAGGAGATCCATTGCCTCGAAGATCATGGACATAACATTCGTCATCTGCATGACTTCTCCAGATGTCAAGCAAAGTTTCTTGTTGTCATCCAACACAGTGTTCAGGTTCTCGATCCACACAGCATCAACCGGTCCGTCGAAGATCAGCCATTTCCTCGATGGAGACTCATCAGAGCAGTACCTTCGGAAGGCAACAGCGCACACTCCATCCGTCCACTCCGAAGAAACCGGATCGAACTGTCCGTACAGTTGTCCCATTGTTATCGATTTTGGATTGACAGTTGTGAATATTGTCGTCGCTCCATTATCATCCCCCCACTCTTCCATTATAGTAAGAGCATCAGCAAGTGTATGGAGAACTGATGTTTTCCCGCCAAAAGGATCCCCTACGAGCATGAATCCATGCCTGACGATCATCATTTCGTATGTTTGAATGATCTTCAGGAGGAAAGCATCGACTGGCTGAAGATTTTTTCTCTCGGCTGCTATCTTTACGGCTTTGAGCAGAACGTCGTAGCTAGGGGACGGCAGTTGGACACCTGGAAACAAATCGGAGATGATGCCTTCGAATAATGGAACGTCATGGGAGAGGAACTTTGGGAGATTGACGTCGATTATCGATCGCAGCAAGAGAATCAGTTCGTCTTCATTCGGATACTTGAGCTTGACGTTCTGCGCTGCTGTTAAAACGGTCTTCACTGCTCTCATGCCGTAGTCATAGTGGGATTGAGAGGATAACTGTTCGGAGCAGAGTTTGTAGGTCGTTACGATTTTGACTGAGAGGACTCGAGCAGTACTGAAACCAGAGGAATACAGAAAAATCTCTCCTATCATTGCGTAATCGGGAACCATCATGGCGACTGTTCTGAACAGGACTTTAAGATTGTCCGGAAGTTCCGAGCGCCCAGCGTATCCGGGGTTCATAGTGATGCACACGTAGACTGCGGGATTGAGTCTGAGTTCAGTTCCCTCGAAGATGAATGTATCGACGTGGGCTCGCACTGCTTGGATGATGCACAGGATTTGTTGAGCCACGACTGAAAGAACCTCGAGCTCGATTCGATTGAATTCGTCGAAGCAGGCCCACGCTCCACAGGACGCTAAACCCTTGAAGAATTTCCCCATGTTCTTGTAGTCGAGACCGTCTGAACAGTTGAATACTACACATTGAACGGCTATTGCTCGACCAAGATCTTTGGTGGTTTCAGTCTTTCCTGTGCCTGCTGGACCTTCTGGGGCGCCGTTCAGGTGGAGGGAATAGGCTCCAATTAAGGTGCGATAACATCTGATTAGGAAAAATTATGTGAGTAATGAAGAATGATTATCTTTCTGCTAAGGGCTATTTTTTGCGGTTTTTTTTGCCGCTTGAATTTTTTCTACGTTTGACAGTCATAAAAAATTATATTATATTTTACCTGTCAGTTAACGGAGTGATAACCAGTCTGGGACAATTCCCGAGATACTCATAAGCATACGGCACAGTGGCATTGATTATTCTGACCAAAGCGTCTTCTTCCCAATAGTACCTCAACTGTGCAAGCCACTCAAAATCCGTCTCATCAATAATTTCCTTATCAATCAATAACTTGACAACGTCTTGAGCATGCACATCTATTGTAATGAGGGCATTGAGGGTTGTGCGGTTTTGCTTCGTCAGCTGGCCTATCGAAAAATTTTCCCCTTAATTGAACACCTATTTAATCGATTGTAAACGTACCTTTAACGAGATTCACCATGTCAAAGATCTGCGCCCTCAATTTTTTGTACAAACTCTCGAGATTCGACATTGTGTGCGTCATCAAACAATTCTGCACCTCCATACTCCAGTAAATCTGTGAAACGCAGATGATTACCTGTCCCGGCCAAATGAGAACCCACTGAACTCTCTCATTAGTCTCGTAATCGAAATAACTCATCATGATTTCATGACGTATAGATTTCACCATTTGCTCCTCAACTTGAATGAGCCAGCGCTCGACACAGCCCCTCGCTGCACTCGTCGATATCATTTCTTGAAATTGTACCTCTTCCTTATCATCACTGAACATTGAGAGAATCTCCAATTCATCATTGAATCCGAGCTTGGCAATCCCTTCAAAACATTTCTTCAAATGGGGCTGTACCCTCAAAGGATCCTTCGTCTCAGACAGAATTTCTAGCATATCGTCATTACTCAGAAAGAAGAATCTCGGAAAGAACAGTCTCTTCTTCTCCAAATAATTCGCCACACCCTCATTCACCTTCTCCATCAGCTCATTCGCATGCTTCAGGGTTTCGCATAGACCTACCGATCCTGCAGTCTCTTTAACAAGTGGTTCTCTAGCAACAGCCGCCATAGCACTCCTGAAGGTGGCGTTAACCTCTTGAAACATAATTCCCTCTTCAGGTAGTTGCGCCACGATGTCCTTGCTGGAGAAGATGGGAAGAAGGTACATCCACTGGACCTGAACGTTCGTCCATTCATTGATAGTGCTCTGAATCCTCAATAGAAGATCATAAAAGAGCTTCACCTCTTTCTCGATGGGCTTAACAAAAGCAGAGCCCCTCATCACTTGAATTTTAATTATATGTTCCTCTAGCAAAGCTTGAATATCATCGAGCTGAGTAAGAATCGCAACTCCAGTGTCTTTGTAGGGAGTTGTTGTGAAGAAAACATCATCCCAATCACGTTGTATTTTGCCCAGAAGATCTTGAAGTGCCAGTTCTTTAGTCGCACTGTTGCTAATCGCTTCGTATTGATCCATATCATCAATCAGATTCATCCTAATGATTTTTCTCAATGTTGTACCGGCATCCGGGGTTATGTCCCTCTTTGCTACCGCGGACATCTCGTCCCAGTGATGCTGACGAAGTGCCGGATTGCAAAAGCAGAGAGCCTGAGGTACATATTGTTTGAACCACTTGATCTTCTCTATCAACTGGTGACAGAGCTTCATTGGTGCGGGATATTGAAAAGGATCTGGATCATCAACTGCTCCGGCGAATGTGTAAGGATAGCCCATCGCTATTTGCATTTTTATTTTTGTCCTGTATGCTTTTGACTGCTTATTGAAATCAGTGAAGTAATCTGTTGTTCGGCTCTCTATTGAATTTGCGTCGAGGTACTCGAAGGGACCGTCTAACCAGACCCCGAGGTCTCTTTGCCACTGGAGTGCTCGATATATTAGAGTGTAGTAAGGGAGGATAATGTCTTTCAGCTCTTTTATACGAGGGTAGACCGTTCGGGGGAACTTGAAGAGGGCTTCTTCGCAGTTTATCCACTGCACCTCGGCGTCCATACGATCGAAATTGCGAACCATACTCCTCATGTATTCAATGTAGGAACGGATTCGGGTGGCGTCGTCCATGTCATCGAGAATTGTTAGTCTGAAGAGGAGAGCCATTCATTGAGGGGTGGAATGAGTTCATTCGATGATTTATTTTTATTTGAGTATCACGGGAATTCTTTACTGCACTTTTTTTTTAGAATCACACAATTAAAATCAGTTAAGGCTCGCATGATCTAGTATGATCTATGTAATTTATAGATTAGGTTTGAGTGACAGTAGAAGCGAGTTTTAAATCAATTTTTTTCCCTCACCTAGGAAACATCGCTTCAACCTGAGCATTTAGTGCGGCAATTCTTCCCTGCAATCTCTCCTCCAATTCGAATTTCTTCTGTTCGAACGTTGAACTGTTTTGCTCGAACACTGGCTTTATTCGGTCCATCCAGTTCACGGTGTCATTGTTTAACTCAATGTGATCCTGATCGAGCGACGTCATCTCGAGCAAAGTCGCCATCATATACAGAGAGAGATTTATCTGTTCTCGCAATTCCGTTATAAGGGTAGTCGTCGCATACAGCATGTATTCACCTGAATTCAGAGAAGAAATTGAAGAAGTTGAATGTTTCACTGTTGAGTTCTTATTTACCCAGTTCGAGGAACTCCTTCGTCTCCGGGGGAACGTCGAGGGCTTTTTTTTTCAGTGCCTCGAACATCGAGCAGATTTGCAAATTAAAGTTGCAGTGTCTTTTCACTAATTCTTGGATTACGTGTTGAAGTATTTCTCGGGTATATTGCTTTAGTCCAACCTTTGCTGGTTCTAAAAATAATTTTCCTAACGGGAAATATTCGTTTTCTGTCTAGAATCGAAAGGAGAAATTGTCAGAAGCATTCTGGAAAATTATGATCCCCGTTCAATTGAATTTCTTTCGTACTAGGCTATTAATGTCTCGAATGAACCGATTGAACTCCTCAACTTTATCCAAACAGTCCTGGAAACTGTGTTCTCCAGCAATAAAGATTGCAATTTCTTCGGGAGTCGCTGGACTGTAAACGACGCCGAATTTGTTATGTAAAGCGTCGACGTAGGCATTAATGGGTTCCAATAATATCTGCAGTATTCCTGCCAATTTTTCGTGGGAGGTTTGCATGAACCACTCGGGCAAAACCGCGGGGATGAATCCGCTCTCGGTTTTTATATCGAGCCAAGACTCCAATGGGGGCAATGATAGCCCAACGATTCCTAATCTGTCCAATAGTGCGTGAAAACTCGAGGAAAAATCGATAGTACGTGGGAATATGAACATCTCGTTGTTCTCACATTGGAGATCCAGCTGGAAAAAGGTTCAATTAAAAATTAATGAAATGAGGATTTTCCTGAATCGCGGGAGTTGCATGAAAATCTCCTATGGAAGAATAAAATGACATTAACAAATCAGATTGAATATTTTATCATTCTCTAATTATCAAACCCATTATAACTTCATTACCTTTAACAAAGGACAGAGAGACGGGTCACTCAAGACAGCCAGAAAGTGATTAATGCTCTTGATGACTTTCCTAGTAACCTGATAGGCAAGTAATTTGGTAGCAGCTTCAAGAAATGGGCCCAGTAAATCACTGGGAACGTCATTCAGATATCTCTTGGTAGTTACGAGTTTCACTATGTACGCATAGTAAGCATTTGTCACAACTATCTCCCCTTTTCGAATATCTTGTTCAACTATTTTGAAGAATCTACAAAAAATTACAGAATTCTTCTACTTAGCGAAATTGACTAATTACCATTTTCCATACTTTCCGCAATGATTTCCAAACTCTCAACATTTTTCGAATTATTGAAAATAAAAAAATTAATTAATTAATAAAGAGCTTTATTGATAGAGATTGTCCCAATTTCATCCCCTTAAATAATTTACCTCATATCTTACTTAGTTGCTTCGATAAATCCATTCTTCCGATAATTCCTGAAGTCGCAGATAAACTCAGGCATGAGTGTATGTGATTTAGCAAAAATATTCCTCATCAAACTCTGAGGGCTCAGATATTTTGTGGCGAGATTAATTCGATTCTGGATGAATCTGGGCCGACGGGATGTACGACCATCGAACTTGAAGGGCAACTCCTCAGCATCTCGCCAATTAAATCCGATTGATATAACACATTTCATCCCCATTTCGTGCATTATCTCCATATAAAGGCATTTGGCTTCATCCATATGGCGGTTGTATGAATTGGTGAATTTTTTTCTCAATCTCAACGGAATGAGACTCTTTATCTCGCGTTCCCAGCTCTGCAAGAAGCTTTTCATCAAATATTAAAATGCAACCGTTGGAGACTGAAATCGGTGGATTTTTTAATGCTTGGTTCATCGGGGAAATTCATACTCACTGGGATGAGCCCGACAATTGGAAGTCTCTCTGCGTAATCCTTCATTTTTTCGAAGTAGAAACCCTGGGGAGGAGTGAGGTAGCATTCGTGAGCTGTTCGATACTTTTCTACATTTTTCACATCTCTTATCTTCGTGCGAGCCGCTGCTATTTCCAACATCTCCTGGAGCTCCTTACTTCGAACCTACGAAGAACCAATGAGATATTAATTAATAAATTATTCTCGCGAAAAATTTCGCGTGACATTTCGTCATGACAGATTATTTATGCAATCAGTTGAGCCTTAGGACGTCAAAGCACCTAACGAAGATTGTAATTACTTTATCAAGATGAAAGCTCCGTAGGAATTCATTTTCACTGAATTTCCCGAGGAATGTATCAGGATTTGGCGGTTCCTCCATCCTCGGTATCAGTGTTTTTTCAAAAAGCAATTTCCTGATCTCAAATGTGTCGGACATGGTTATTAAATATTTCGCAGCCTGTAATGCATCTTCAAACCTGAAACAAATGAATCGTAACAATATTTGTTGTAGAATTTAATTTTATTGGTCTATATAGTAAAATTGCCTTTTCTGATCAGAACGGGAAACTATTTTCTCACAATTATTATTAGTATTTTATTATTATCATTACTAGTATTATTATTAGTATAATTATTGTTGCAATATATCATTATAATACTTTAATACTTTAATATATAGTAAATAATAGTACTTTAATACTTTAATATATAGTAAAGTAGTCATCACATTCATCTAATTGTGCTACTGCCGGTAACGTAGATCCTGTAATTGTGGAAATGACGATGTGGGTCGATACATCTCTAGCCGTCGATAACTATTTCATATTCGATAAAATAGAATTGAAATTCTGTGATCTACAATTGATGAGTAGATTGAGTTCAATTTTTAAAAGTATTATTTTTCATTTTTAACTCGTTCACATCTTCATAATCGTTGGTATGAGGCATTCAAGAGGAAAAATTCCTGTGGAGACTCTCTGGAGCACAATGAATCCAAGGATCGGAAACACTGGATTGATATGAAGGAAATGAGTCGTCACGCGTGTAATCCGATAATTTTTTTTGCTCGTAATGGCATCCTCGAAAAGGGTCGTATTTATAAACGACGTATCAGTCTTAATCCACGCCCGATTTTCCATCGTTTTGCATCGCATGTGATGTGACATTAAATAGCTGCACGGGGTTCCATCGGGTGACAAAAAAAGGGTCCTGGTATCCTGACAGAAAGGGATCCACTGGTTGTCACCCTGGGGCTAAATATACGAAGCAAGCAAGGCGCAAGATTGGATTTGTAGCGATTAGAAATCTATCCCCGTAAAATCTGCTTCTGGTTCTACCCAAGATTAATCCCTATCCTTCGTGAATGTGTCATCGACTGACTGGTTTTCACGTTAAAACTCTCGTCGACCGAGAAAATTCTCTCGACACACATGAAATCACTTTTTTTCTCTAATTACCAACGATAAATTACGGTTTATTAACGCACTAATGCCAAGAATGAAATTAACCGTGGAAATACCGCATGCTGAGATACTAATTAAAACAAACACGGTTACGAATTTTCTAACTTGAGAATTTATAATCGCAGTTATTGAATGGGAATTCGGAAAATTTATGCTCATTCCGGGAGACCAATTCGAAAATCGTTGGAATTTTCATCTTTTTTTTTTCAATTCTTGCAGGGGAATAAGTAACGACATAATCCCTGATCGATATTGTTTCCCCTGATTTATGGTGAAGGGGATGATTCCATGATTTTTTGAAACACCAATTGACTCCCAGTGATCGAGCGAGTAATGTCTTCACCTCTGGGGCCTTCGCTAATTTGACTAATCCCCAGGAACACGTGGTCACGCATTAAAATTATTTTCATCCCTTCTTTCTTGTTTGCACACGTGTTGACACCCCCTTTTACATTATTCAAGCATCATTTTTCTTAGTAGATAATTCTCTCGTTTTTCGGGACTGTCACTAATTAATTATTGAATTATTCATTCAATGTGAAATTAACTTGGAAGATATATTGCTCAATTTTTTTTCAGAGTAAAATTATGCTGAGTAAAAAATCATTATACTAACCGTTTCATTAATAATCATATAAATTCTCTTTAATTCTATAAATTTTCCAATAGCGAATTTCTTCAATTTGTTTATTATTCCTATAAATCTCATATGCAATATGAAATAATTAATAAAAAAGAACGTCTGTTGCAAAATTCATAGAAATGTTTAAATTTCCAAATTATTCCAAAAAATATATTCAAAGAGAAATCCATTTTACATATTTTGAAAATCCAATTAAATGGCCGATGTTACAAAAAAAATGGTTTGTCAACGGTAAATAAACTGAGATGATAGATTATCAAAATTTGTGTGCCAATTACTACTGCCCTCCATTTCAATTAATCGGCCGGGATGATTTTTCAAAGTTGTTGGCAAACTTTATCCCAGCAAGTGCACGCTGGGCGTTTAATCAACTCGGAGTGTAATTACAAAATGACTTTTCGGTGGCGAGTGACATCGAGCTGCGGAAGGTCTATGGTATATCCGTACATTGGTAAGACCTTCGAAGTTGCGGCATTTTCTTTAATTACAAACTCGTTGGTACAACCGGCGGTCTTGGGCGGCTGACGGACCGAAAATTAACAGCTTGCACCGCTGGGTGTAACGCCAGTGGTGGAGCGTGCTTTTATTAATTTATCACTGGGTGTATATTACAGAAGCACACTGCGGTGAAATCAGCGGGATCAGAGCTACATACATTCAAAATGTATTTGCCTTCTCTCACACATTCAAATAAACGCGCAACTTGGTCACTCGGCTTGTCCCAGAGTGAGGGAGGGGATCAGAAATACCAACTCTCGTTGCGTTTGTAATTACTTTGTAATTAGAAACGCCGCATTCGGCTCGAGGAATTAAAACTGGTTCGCCAGTGAATTCGGAGGGGAATCTTTATTTCTCATAATGAAGCTGGAGTTGTTCTTAAACATGACAAAATTATGAGAATATATTTTATTATTCCTGAATTGTATTGGCTCTGTGTCCACTTTTATGGCTCCGTTGAAATAACATTTTTTATCATTCAGTTGACTGTAATTTTAGGAGAAACTCCCATTTTTGATAATTAATTGGTCTTCGTGAAGAAGACAAAGAATAGTCTCATGATGGCATCGCCCCGGGGTGCCTCTTCTAAGCTAATTGTTTCACCCTTAATGTGTCCTAGCGAGTTTTTATAGAATGCGTCTAATATCCGGGTAGAGAATCTCGTTATCGACAAATTTGTCACTCGTCCAAGCCCCAAGGGTTGATAGGGGCTCTCCATTGGCCGTTCAATTGCCCCCGATATTTCCACTCTCAACCCTTCTACTCTAAGAAATTCAATTACAAGGAGCTCCCGTTGTATCGGATTATGATATTTCCTATTTTGTTAATAACAGAATTAAAAAATGCTGGTTATGAATTATGCAGATCTGGAGATTCTCGACACCCTTGTATGATGATTGAGGGTGAGGGAAGTGGGATGAACGAGTCCAAACAAACGTGTAATTTACCGGTGGCTAAAAAGAGAGAAATGCGAAAGGTTGCAACCTGGAGTGGATACTTGGGTAATGGGGATCGGAAGGAGGATCCGTGGTTAAGGAGTTGCCGGAGGGAGATGAGGATTGTGATGGGTTTTATTTTTTAGGGGCGGAGGAACTCCTGTTTAACTGGCTATTAAGTTACTCCGCCTCGGTTCTGCCAAATTTAATCGATCACTTTCCAAATTTCTGACAGTTTCCCGGTCACTAATTATCATAGAAGACTCTATTTTCGAGTGACTGACTCGATATCGCTAATTGAGATTTTCATGTTGACTCGACGAACCATTTTGGCTTATTGACCGGTGGTATCGCGATATCTATCAGATTTTGGCTGATTTGCATATCGGCTGTCGAGACGATTACGCACGTGAGGATAACCTATGGCACGTATGTCTCGGTGAAGTTACATACCTTTCTTACTTAATTTCTCTCATCCTCAGTAAAGACAGACAAGTAGAATAAAACAGAGAAATACTGGGGCGTCGTAGTGTATAGGTTGCACGTAATTCCTGGAGTTGGAGTTTTCGACCCCCGGCGCTCACGGTTGGACGCCATCTTATTTATTGTTTTAATTATATCAGAATATATCGTTAGAAGCCGTCAGGGCCCGCTCTGCGCCGCCAAATACGTGAGATTTATGAGAACGAAAAGACGACGAGTTTCTTTCCCCCGCGTACACCGATATCTCTTCTCTTTTCTCTCAGGAGATACTGAGATCTTCTCGACTCAAATTTGCGTCGCATCTCCCTTGCTTTTCTATCCAACATTCGAGATATTACCCCTGGTACCATCAAAACCAACTTCAACCACCAACGGGGGGTGTGTTGACGTCTGTAATATGTTGGTTCGTCTTTGTGGATGAATTATCAATTTATTAGCAACGACGGACACTGGGTCTCCGGCTCTGAGCCGATGGATCAGTTCTCCGGATTATTAGTTTCGGGTCTTTTCACACGCGATCCGAATTCCAAATTCACCTTTTTAATTGTCCAAGCCAAGCCAATTAAATTTACATGTTCCTAACATGAGGAATGACATAAAAATATGATGGAATTTCTAAAGTTTTTGAATAGCTACACGCGAGTTAATCAATTATTCAATAAACTCCGCTGGACGTAACAAACTACATGATACAATCATAATTCATTTAACCCCATCACCCGGAATAACTCCAGATAACAATGCGATTATAAAAAAACACGAGAAACTGACGTGCGGGAGAATCGATCCAGTGATTACACCGGCCCCCCGGAAAATAGATACCGCTATAAATGATTGGCTAATGAACCCTAGACCCACCGGAATCAATGAAAATTATCAGCTCTACTTGCGTCATCAACCCTTCACCCTTCAGCCCCTGTATCCAAGAAGGTGAATTTTTTTTGTTGTATTTTTCACTGCAAGGCGGCGTCTGGGCGCGCGCCCGCTGGTATGTCTGGCATTTTTGGCCGCTCTCACAACTCCCCAATGATTTAATATTGTCCATATCTCTCCCCAGAAATTGAGAACAAGAAAAATCCCCAATTAAAGTAGTCTCACCCCTTCAACCCCCGTCACCGAAATCCCAGTGAAAATTGGCCGAATAATTAAACCGGAAGTTGAAGGAAAAAGGATAAAAATTGCGAGTGGGAGTGGAATATGGATAATGGACAAAATATAAACGGGTGAATACACGCGACCACAGTGATCCCTATCTACACTTGATAAATTACTGTCCCTACTCGAATCCTCTCTCTCATTCTCTCTATTTCCCTCCTTTCCTTTCCTTCCCTCGGTCCATCGTCCCCCTCCGCTGAAAAAAAAATCCCCTCATCCACCTTCGGAACTCACCTTAATATTAATTTGCCCCTCCATT